CTTAAACACATGGAGATTTACAATTGCAACCTTGATTAGAACAAGTATAGAGAGATTTATTAATTCATTTTTCTCATATAATGCAGGCAAAAAGATATTTCAACACGGCCAATGTTTTCCTAGTTGTATTAAATTCATTCAAACACTTTTTGAGTCATAAATTGAGGAATAATTAAAGCTGGCGCCTAAATTTGAGGCTTGACTGATGATGTTTGAGGTTTGCGTTGATCGACATTGTGTCTTAAAGTCTGCGCAGTTTTATTAATGAACACATATCCAATTAGCGATTTTTTCTTCTCCTTTGTTACCTCAAATTGCTTTTGTCATCACAATATCCTCAACACCAACATGCGCTTTTTCTATTTCTCCGCCAATTTAGGTGTTGCCTATTTGGTGGCTTTGTCTTTGGGCGCATCAATGGAGCATGATGAGCGAAGTGTCTCATCCTCCTGAGGCTCGATAGAAGACTCATTGCATGTCCTATAGAGACACATGTGCATCGTGGTGCATGTATAATAAAATGGCAACAAATTGAGAGAAAGATTGTGGGATGAAATTAGGTGTGTCAAGTAAATTACCATTTAGAAGACTCTATATAATTTAAGCGCAGCAATTGATAATGAAACTCCGGGCAAATGATGCATCTCGCGCGCTCCATTCCATGTAGTTTTATTTGTTGTGTATAAATGAAATCACTTGGATGATTTCACCGGAAACTGATAAATGAATTATGATTTTCTGCAGCACACACAGAATAGTTTTTCCCGTCGTCCAGGCGTTGACTCACACAAGATTTCACTATAGGATGGTAAATAATAGAAAGAAGATCAGCCACAGAGAAGAGGATTTCCTTGACTTGACTCGCTAATGAAAAGAGATTTTGGATGTGACAAAAGACGCAACAATTTTTTTCTCTCCGTGGCACAACTTTTGGAGTCATCAATGAAAAGAGTTCCCAATAGCTGAGTCGCACAGAGTGTGGCAGATTGGATGAATGGGCGAATGAATGAATGACTGGTGTGCGAGAGTAATTTATTATAAAACAGTAATTGCACAACTCATTCAATCTCACGTTATTCATTCATTCGATTGGCTCTCCCGACACCTAAGTACCCGAGTGTTTCACTCTGTTTTGCTTTGCTCATATGTGACAATCATAAAGCAATTTCAATTCAATTAAACGATGCTCCGGCGGAGTGAGAGCGAGCGAGAGAGTTGGGCAGAAGGGATGAAGTGAGTGCCAGAAGATGTCATGTAATTGTAGGAGAATGTTGTGGAGAAAGATAGACAAGTTTGTTGCTTGGTTTTGTGCTCATCTTGAGATTTCGAGGAGATTCTCGAGATTTATGTTTCCTCACAGCTATGAAAGTGACTGAGCGGATGACTCTCGAATGTGTGCATTTTGTGAGCTACTGCCACTTCAGCGTACACCCATCAGGCACTGCGATGGAGGCCCGGAGATGCGAGGTGAGCGTTTGAGATGGGAATTCACCCAGGAGTACCCTCTTCCGGAAGAGCGAAAGAACAGCGCACGAAGTATATCTCAATGGGCAAACACACGCCGAACACTGAATCTTGTCGTCTCACCTCCTCAGTGAGCACAGGATTTGGCTGCTATCACAAATATTAGGCGTCATCTGAAGCATGTCTCCTGGCGGATATCGCCTTGCCACGGCATTGGGCAAGAAATCACCCCAAGAGACGCGCAAAAGTGCACCATAAAATCCGGAGGAAGACTGTGCGCAATGCTCATGAACATGACATGCAGATGATGGAGATGAAAAATAGTGGAGAAAACTGAAAAATGGAAATTACAGTTAGATGATTTATGAGACTAAATGGGATTGTATGCAAAATGAAAGATTCAGTTGGGAGGTTAAGCGACGAACCCTGCCCATGCATTGCATTTTCCCTGTTCGTTTCCACTTTGGAAATCATTAAAATTGGAGTCACTCTGTTCGGAGATTTCAAGACATTTATCACATCATGTGTTCATAGTGTGGCATATTTATGACAATATATCTATATATATATCCATTAGGCCACACATGAGACGATCTTCTGACTATAGAAGCAGACTCACATGAGCCCATTGTGAGCTTTTCCATCCAATTTGGACTACAAAGTGCCTGATTATTTCCTTCTCGTCGAATCCTGGGTGTACAAATAATGCCATAATTCTCTGCACCGGAGCATCTCAAGAAGGAGATGCCAAAAACGCATCGAAACATCTTGTTTTGCGCCTCCATTGAGCAACCTGCGCCTCTCGGGCCCGAAGACACTTTCCCATACGCTCATTCATTAATGCATAATGCACACAATTTCACATCGCCTCGCTGGCTTTTTGCCAATTATGCCACGTGAGCGCCCAAAACTCTGGGTAGGGTCGCATTCGGAGCCTTAAAGGTTGCTCGCGCTGAATGAAGTCCACCCAAGACGTGGTGTGATAATCAGGAATGACATTATCGACACAATTAATTAGCGTGTGGTTGGCTGTCGCCAAGAGCCTCGGCGCCTCATGCATTAAAACACACACCGTTCGCCCAGATTTTGTGGCGATTTCCAAATTACACTGTTTTTCTCTCCCCACCTCGCGCATTGGCATCTTCTTTTTACTCATACATAATGCTTACACATTCACATAGTGTTCAATTCATTAATAAGCACCTTTTTCTCTGCCACTCTCTGGCGTTTTTCTCAATGAACCGATCTTTTTGTGAAGCTTTAATGCAAATAAAACACCAACAAATTGTATGTTATATGCTGGTGGATGCTATATGGTTGCCCGCGATGCATATATACAGCGTGGCCTCTGGTCTTTCGAAAGCCATCCTACGCAAGTCGTTGTTAAGTCACGCGTTTAAAGTTACAAATTTATGAATGAAAACCAATACAAAATCAGTGTCGATCGTGTGTCGCTGGAATAGAAGGTGTTTTTACACTTTTTCTGCGTCCACCGTTGATATCTTGTCTGTGTCGTCGATTGAAGATTGTGTATTTGTGCACAAATTGTACAACTGTTTGGAGCTTTTCTTGTTCCTCTTGTGCCGCACTCTGTCTCTCTCCCACCACCCAGCACAGCCCTCTTCTCTCTCTCTCTCTCCCTCTTTGCGACTCTCCAGGCTCATTTGCAAAACAATAAAATAATAATAATTGAACACCCAATCATGTGGAGGAGAGGAGATAAAAAAGCCTGCCAGTCAATACATTTTCTCGGATGTAAGTACAAATATCATCTGGTGCCTAACAACATTCAAGTCTGCCAGCAAAGTGTGGGCGCGCGTTACTTAAAATTCAAATTTTAAAAGCGTAGGATCATTGCATTGCATTTGATGGTGATCAAAAATAGCACCACAGCGCTCTTGGGCACAAAAGAACCATTATATGCGGTGGAAAATTACGCGAAATGTTTCCGTGGAAAATAATTGCGATATTGAATTTAATTATGGCCAATTTTAATTGCAGAGCTTTCATTAAAAACAAAAACTACTGACTGTGATTATGGCCTTTTCTTGCGCCGCATCTCATCTGCATGCCGTACAAAACAGACACTATGCAACTGAGCGATGAATGGTTGGTGAAGAGATGGTGAACATCAACCGAAAGCTTCTTGCATCCATTTCGTCCGTCCAACCATTTCCGGTTTATTGAGCGCGCGCGCGCGCGCGTTCGCGCCAGTTGCTAACACAGATACATAAGTCAGTGGAGACAGAAGAACTGTTAATAATAAATAATTGACGAGGAGACAAGAGACGCGCCAAGAGAGATCACAGCCGCGAATAAATTCTTTTTTTCCAGCACTCCAGCACACGATCTGTGTATCTTGTACGAAATTGACAGTCGCTATCACACCCTTTGTGGCATTTTCTTCCCTCTTCTCGGACTCGCCAAGCCATCGGAATCAACCCAGCACCGTGGCTGATATATTTATTGTGCAACGATGTGACAAATACACGCGAGGAAATATGCAAAATCCAATAAAATATCCTTGAATTGGAAATCACCAACCACCTCTTCATTTTTCTCTTCGCTGACTGTCTCGGCCATTTCGCCTGTCCTCCCCCCGCCTTGACGGCACTCCGCGCCTCCGTGGCACTTTATAGAACAAAATTGATTTGCAATTACTCTCCGCTGACAATTTGTCCGATTAAAGGTGCTGACAAATTATTTATTGCTCTTGAAATTATCTCAAAAATATGTCCCAACAATGAGCTCACACTGTGTGGCATTCCGTGAAACGGAACTTGCGCTTATCCAACCAAATTGGACACCTCAAGATTCACCATCTCACCGATATATTCTTCGCCACACGAGAAGATCCACTGTCGGACCTATAAAAAGATCCCCTTTGTGTGGTGGCAATAAAATTTAAATACCACTCATTTCACACCATTCTATTAGAAAAATATCGTTATGAGCTAATTTATATCATCTCTATAAAAAATCCCCACATTTTTCCGTATCATCCAAATCATTTTGGAAGTTGAGATAAAGTGTATATTGTTTTCGTCGCAGAAGCGAATACAATCTCAGAAAAATTCAATTCAATATTGCCAAGAAAATGCCATTGAAAGTGTGTCTGACGCCAGTCATTTCTCAAGCTGCTCCATTTCGCACTGATATTTGACTTCGGAGTTTTATTTATTACCTGGTAAGTGATTAAATTGGAATTTACTATATTGAGAAGAAGTATTTTTCTGCTCATACTTTTGTAGTTTTTCACAATAATATCAGTAACAGGAATTCACTGTGATAATTCGATATTTATTGTTTTATCCGCAGTTCTGAGGATTTTTGAGAAACTCAAGAAAGCTGAAAACGATTGTTTTTAGTTTGCTTGAAAGCTTCATTACACATAACAACCAGGCGTCTCCACTGAAAAGCTTTCTCGATTTCGCTTGAAGCGCCAGTGGACATATGACGAACTAGAAAGTGGTCATGAGATTGAAAGCAGAAAATCGAACGACGCTCGCAAATACATTTTATTCCTCTCATTTTGCTTCTCTTTTCTTTCCTTAGCCAATAAAAAACATCATCTTATCAATCTCTGTGATATTTTATATTCTCTCCATGAGCGATAGAAGGAAATATTCAACCAATTCTGTGATACATTTACAGAAATATTTATGATCACAGCAGACTTGTCTATTGACAATTCCCATTTCAGGACAAATTTCTGCAGGGATTCCTTGTTTTTAATTCCTCGTTATCACGCTTGATTATTTCCTTTCGTCTCTTCCCCAAAATTTAACACTCTTTATCAATAGTGGAAGAAGTTGTGCTTACGTGTACAGCATCACTTGTGAATTAGACCAAATTCAATGGCTCAATCACTCTGCGAACTGTTCAATAGCATGGAATTCGACAAGGAAGTCAGCGCGAAGGCGAAGGTAATTTCGGCACATTTTTGATAATACGGGCCGTTTTCCTGACTCACTTCCCTTGCAGAAGCTCTTCTCTGATGCCCAGGATGTGGCTGAGTCGAAAACCGGCTTCCGATGTTACAAATTGACCGCATTTACGGAGAAAACCTTTGATGTGGCTCTGAGTCTGGTCAAGAGCAATCAGGACTTGATTGCTGAACTGGAGGAATTGGCTGACATTGCTCCCAGAAACGTGACAAGGGAGCATCTCAGGAAGGCCCTAGAGATAGCTGAGCACTATGGAAAGTTCAGTTATAGATCGTCGGGAGTTGTGCAGGAGTTTGTGTGGACAAAGAAGTCATCAGTCTTTGAGATTGTTCTGGATTTGCTTTCGGCACTTCAAGCCAGTGAAGCAATCCAGGTTAGAGTGGATTCTTCCCGGAATGCGACTTTCCAGTTCATCTCGGCCGCATTCACCGTTGAGACTGTGAATGAGGAGGACGTTCCAGCTCTGCAAGAGGACAAGAAGCACTTCTGCACGCTGTTCGTGACGGAATCCGGCGATTTGCAGTCTGCTTCGGATGTCCTTGTTGAGTCCTTCAACGACAACACTTCTCCGTGGAAGATCAGGAATCTCCTCTTGCAGGAGTGTGTAGAAGAAAGATTCCTGGAATTGCTACTGCCCAAAGTACAGAAATACCACAAAGTCTTCACATCTTCTGCGGACTTCCAGCAGAGCTTCAGAAGTGCTCTCGCCACTGCCTCAAAAATGCATCTCAAGATGTTCAGCAACTCCCGGGACACTGAGGAGATAAAACCGACGATTGTCTTGGGCCAGAATAGGTCATACTTTGATCAGGCTGGGAGTGACATTGCACCCATTGTGGTGATGAACATTTTCCGGACGGTCAAGGAGGGAATTGGAATGCTGAACGCCTCAAACGGAGGATCAGTGTCAATTTGGAGTGAGAAGCTCTCTATCGCTTATGAGATTGCCAACGGCGCGAATACGCCCAGCGTGTGGATAAACAGTCTGGCCAAGTTCACTCCAGAAATTCCCTTTTCGTTCGTGTTTGGCGGAATTACTTACGGTTCGGAGATCGCTGTGCTGGAGAAGATGCTGTTCCAGAAGCGCCACGGACGCAACAATGCCATATCGCAGGACGACCTCAGGACCTTCTGCAACTACCCATCGACATCGCTGGTCATTGGCGGGAAGTATCATTTCGAGTGCCTCATTGGGGCCCTGCAGAATGCCCACTTGGTGGAGTCAAACCTCATCAAGATCGGCACGGATGACATCAAGAATCGCTTCCGGGAGATTCTCTCGTCGTGCACTCGCGTCAAATGCCAGAATCTCGCCAGTGTCTACACTCAGCGGAAGACCATCGTCTTCCCGTTCGGCGAAACTTTTGCCAACTGATCACAAATCCACTGTTTTGCATTGATAATTATTGAAATTTATCACAAAATTCTAGTCGAGTTTGATGGAAAACGAAGCTCCGCATGAGCATCCCTGATCCGCCTTCGGGTTTCCCTCCATCACAAAGCCCGATCTTATCAGTTCCTCCTTGTAGTTCAGCGTGGCGCCGGCACAGTAGTCGAGGGAAATGTTGTCCACCACCACTCTCGCCTCTTTCGCTCCAAACACGATATCATCGTTGTTGATCTTTGTGTCGAAGTCAAACTTGTACTGAAATCCCGAGCATCCGCCACCGTCGACAGACACTCTGAGAAAGGATCCATCCGTGCAAATCTCCCTGAGCCTCTTCACACAAGAGTCAGTCAACTTGAGAGCCGAATTGGGGTCTACTTTGGCATTTTCTGATGCGAAGAATCTCACAGATCTGCAAAATAACAGCACAATATCGCCTTCCGGACAACCAACAGAAATGTTACACAACAAACCTCAGTGCGTAATTTGCATAAACAGGAGTGATAATCTTCCGGATGTTCAGTGCCATTCCACAGAAAGGACAGTCTTTGGTCTTTTTCCACCTCAAACTATGCAAAAATGAATTGATTATCCTGAGAAAACTGATATTTACGCAGTGTTTTTGTGTGCTTCTCTCACTCCGACAACTTATCGCTTTTCCGAAAGTTTGACAACCTTGTCGATCAGCATGATGGCTGGCAGTGACAGCGCGACGATTTTGTGAGTGCGTAGAGTTTTTGTACATTTTATACAATTTACCGGATTTGCACATGTTCTACTGAGCGGAAACACGTACAGGAGTGTCTGGTGTATATAATGTGTGTAAACTAGAATCAAAAATAGTTGTGAATTTGGTTAGAGAGGCAAAAAAAGCCGTAGATAAAATGTCACGTCACAGGAATGTCAGGTCAATGGACTACAAGGAAGGTCCGGAACCCCGTATATCCTGATACACCTGTGAGAATGTCCCTTGAATGCCGCATTTCTTGCAGAATACGATGGCTATGATGATGTGTTTGGCCACTCGGTGGACGACGAGGGGTGCATCTCGCCCACGGACGCTCAGCAGTGGATCTACGATCGCGCTCGCGGTCAGCAGAGCATCGTGAACTTCATGGCATCAAACAGGGACATTCAGGAGGAGGACGAGGGCCGCGATGACGAGGAGCACGAGAAGGAGCGCAGAGACTCGGAGAGTTATCAGCTTCCGGAGTTGCCAGAGGAGGAATTGGCGCGCCTGCTGTCGTGCATGGACGAGATCCGGAGCATTGTGGGAGATTCTGTGTCGGAGAAGCGCCTCGTGGAGACGATAATGCACTTTCAGTACGACATGACGCGCGCTCTGGACAGCATTCTCAATCCGGCACCACAGACAGCGGCGACGGCCTCGGCGAAGGCGCCCGACAAGGAGGCGAGCAGCGCCATGGAGAAAGGTGAGTGAACAAGTGGCTCTGATAACAGGGAATGATAAACACAGAGGCTGTTTCTGGCAACAGGTACTCAACCGCTTCCCATAGCAGTCGCATCCGCGGAATCACAGTCACGCTTCCATGTTTTTATCTTGTTTCAATTTGTCAAAGTGGTGAAATTCGATTGCTATTTATAAAAGAGCGCCAGAAGATTTGTTCGTTCAGTTCCCCGAATGCTCTGCTCGTGTGCACTTGTGCCTGGTGAAATTGCCCAATCCTCTGAAATCGCGCAGTTTATGTGGTTTCCAGCATATATTGACTTCACCCTTCTCTTTCTCTTTCCATGTTCTCTGCTATGGATTGTTTTGCAAGGTAAGATTGTGATCCATTGCCCAAAGCTCGCGAATCGTTCAATGATCTCTCGGAATTGATCAAAGCCCGTCTCAATAACCAACCGAGTGGTGGCTCGAAGAAGTTATCCATGCCAAAGTTGAATACGTCTCGAGGATCAGCGGGAAGTTCAGAGGCTAAAACAGTCGCATTCACTGTGCCTAAGTTGAAAATGTCGCAGGACAGTTCAGAGATGAAGCGAATCAAGTTCAATCTGCCCAAATTGAAGGTCTCCCAGGAATCTCCTAAGACTCTTCCTACTGTCCAGCATCCTGCCAAGGTGGAGGAGTTGAGAGTGGCGGAGATGTCTCTGAATGACGCCAGCACAGTGGACAGCAATTCCGGATGGATTGTTGACCTCACAACTGCCCTGATAAGCTGTGACGATGTGTCTCTCGACACAGCAGTGATTCCAGACAAAGAAGATCCCGTTGAGGATGATATCTTCGTTCCTCAGTTTGTAGATTGTGACGTTGAGATGAATTTCTTGGCTCAGAATGTCACACAATATTGCGAAATTGATCTGTCTCACTTGCTGAGGCAGAAGTTGAGACAGAGAAGCAGAAAATACTCAAAGATTGGATCAATTTTGTGCAGAAAGTACAAGAAGAACAGAATTCCGAACATTCCAATGAGATTCGAGAGGAGACACAACATTGAACCGTTCAATTTTGCCACACCTTCCCCAGATGACTATTGTTTGCAGTTTCTGCGAACATGATTGACTTCTGAGAATCACTCGCTTAACTTCTTAGTAGATAAGAGTATATTAGTCTTAAGTTTGTTAGGATTTGCGGAGAGGGATGAGGAGAGCCCGGTGTGATATCTTGTGCACTCTGTCTTTGTCCACAATTATAGGCGTGGGTCCGAGATTGCTGGAGAAGTTCACGAAGCCCTTGGCGGCCCCAACGGTCACCGTCACTCCCACAACGGACAGGACGAATGTGAAGCGAGGTTTCGAGGTGAACTCACCGAATATCCAGTCGCCGGTGATGTCCGGACGCAACACGCCGGAGATTGGGGATGAAGGCAGGACGCCGAGTCGTGCTGGTGCCAAAGAGAGTCAGCGCAATGCCCAGGAGATGTACCAGAAGGAGCGCAAGTCGGGCAAGAGTCACATTCATATGGTGGTGATTGGACATGTGGACGCCGGCAAGAGTACGCTGATGGGACATCTGCTCTTCGATCTGGGCAACGTGCCGCAGCGCGTGATGCACAAGTATGAGCAGGAGAGCAAGAAGATCGGCAAGTCCAGCTTCATGTACGCCTGGGTGTTGGACGAGACGGGAGAGGAGAGAACCAGAGGCATCACGATGGACGTTGGGAGCTCGAGATTTGAGACGGACAATAAGATTGTGAGTGCTTTTGATCATCTTTTCCGGCACTTTGACGGTAATTGTTCTCTGTGTGAACTTTCAGGTGACACTCTTGGATGCTCCTGGCCACAAAGACTTCATTCCCAACATGATTTCCGGGGCGACGCAGGCGGATGTGGCGCTGCTGGTGGTGGACGCCACGACTGGAGAGTTCGAGACGGGCTTCGAATCTGGCGGTCAGACGCGAGAGCATGCACTCCTCGTGAGATCTCTGGGCGTGAGTCAGCTGGGAGTGGTTGTGAACAAGCTGGACACGGCGAATTGGTCGCAGGAGCGCTTCGATGAGATTGTCGGCAAGTTGCGCGTGTTCCTCAAGCAGGCGGGCTTCAAGGAGAGCGACATCACGTACATCCCCTGCTCAGGACTCACGGGGGAGAATCTTGTGAAGGCGCCTGCGGACGAGAAGCTCCTCAGTTGGTACTCTGGACCAACTCTTGTCAATGTTATCGGTGAGTGAACAGGAAAGAGAGATTTCTGTGCCGATTTCTCGTGCTTAAGCGAAGTTATTCTCTTCCAGACAACTTCAGGACTCCCGAGCGGTCGGTGGAGAAGCCCTTCCGGTTGTCGGTGAATGACATTTTCAAGGGCACCGGCTCAGGACTGTGCATTTCGGGACGTATCGAAACGGGCGTAGTTTGCCTCAATGACAAGGTCCTCGTGTGTCCGTCGCGAGAGCAGGTGCAAGTGAAGGGGATTCAGATAGACGAAATCTCCCACAATTCAGCCTTCGCTGGGGACCAAGTGAGCATCTCTCTGTCCGGTGCGGACATATCAAACATCTCGGTGGGCCACATTCTCAGCGACATGGCGAATCCTGTGCCCGTGGCCACGAGAATCCGCGCCAGAATTGTGGTGTTCAACGTGCGCGTGCCGATTACCATTGGCTTTCCCGTGCTGCTGCACCATCAATCGTCCATCGAGCCTGCCAGCATCGTGAAGCTGAAGGCGCAGCTGCACAAAGGCTCAGGCGAGGTGATCAAGAAGAATCCCCGCTGCCTGGGCAACAACTCGTGCGCCCTCGTCGAGATCGAGACAATAAAGGCCATCTGCGTGGAGAAATACTCGGACTTCAAGGAGCTTGGCAGGATCATGCTTCGCGTGGGCGGAGTCACCATCGCTGCTGGTCTCATTACCGAAATCGTTAAATAAATTCTGGGTTTAACTACTTAGTGATTTTGTTTATTTGCATCGGGTTTTCGCGGGTAAATCTAGATATAGCTGGCAGCGCCTTGGATTTCATTGACGGCGAACACTGGAAAGTAAGAATAATGTGGCGCTGGCAGCGTAGAACAGTGGCGAAGAACCATTGCAGACTTGTCCCACAGACATGTCTGCCAAGCAATCACCCAAATTGTATTTACAAATATTCTAACTCAGTTGAAAGAGGAATTCCGAGATGATAAATTGATAAAACGAAGATTTAGAGACTTGTTATCGATTTCCCATCGACCAAAGTGCCCCAGGAAGCGCAGGAGAGCTGCTGAAAGGATCGATCGAAAGGGAGAATTTTCCCACAGGGTCTGCCAGCCCATGGGAATTGTCAGCCAGGTGTCCGAGTGCCGACGTTGGATTTGGTGGGACGTGTCTTTCAGTCCCGAATTGTTTGAGTGGAGTCGGAGTCGCGTATAATGTGGAATTTGCAAATGAAGTGAAAATGTTTACGGGCACGATAAAAATAAAAGTGTGTGAGGCATGTGGTCTACGGCCGACGGATTTCCAGACGCGACACTTGATGTCCTTTGGGAATAAGGAAGTGGAGAAAATCGACGCTTATGTCTCCATAGATGTTGATGAAAATCACTTAGGTAGGCTCCCCAGTTGCTCCCCTTAATTGCCCCCCAGGCGCCCGTGCAGGCCAAATGGGGCCCTCTGGGCGGTCAGGGCGCCGCCAGTGGTGCAATGTGGGGGTCGAGACACCCCCGCCTGGCCCCCAGTCGCCAGCTCCCGAAGGCTGTCTCCGTGCTATTGACATTTTTCTTTGAAAAAGTAATGGCGGCCCCAGGAAAATTGTATGGGGGATTTTCCAACAATTTTCCTTGGCACACATTGTGGATGAAAAATGCACTTTTTGCACCCATTTCGCCACGGCGGACGGCGGAAAAGTGGGCAAAATGCCCCATTTGAGGTGAAAAAGAGGGCACTGGGTGGTGTTTTCGCGGGGAAATGGAAATTGGCGTGAGAAAATTGCACTCACTGTGTGCCCTCCTCTGTGTCTCTTCTTGCAGACCACTCAACCACCAAACCCAAGACGTTCGATCCCGTGTGGAACGAGTACTTCGTCCACGAGGTGCACAACGCCAAGAATCTCAGCTTGACAGTATTTCACGATGCAGCTATTCCGCCAGACGACTTCGTGGCCAACTGCAACATCCCATTCGAGGACCTGACCCACAGGGAGAAGGATCAGACGGACTTTTGGGTCAGTATCCGCCGGCGGTGGTCCGCCGCGGCGCGCAACAATACTGCATAGCAGTTGTTTGTTCGGCGCAAGCAGTTAATTGTGTGCTTTTGAAAGTAATTAACATTCGCGAGATGATAAGGCGTCTCTCTCCGCTGGCCGGGAGAGATCCGAATCGTACACTTAGCAAATAGAGATAGGCCGCGCTTTGGCGCGCCAAAAGGCTGCAATGCGCGCGGGTGTGAATCATACACAATTCACTCCCAAGACCTTGATATTCAGCAGCCACGGTATCTGGGCGACTTGTCTCACGCCTCCGCCTCCTCTTTGCAGGTCGATCTCGAGCCGCAGGGCAAGATTCACGTGACAATTGATCTAGTATGGCACGGTAAGATCCAAGATGCAAATGCTCACACACTTTCCACGGCTAATCCATCATCTCTCTCTCTCTCGGCAGATCAAAACAACTCGCAGAGCGGAGCTGCGCCCGTAGCCGCGGTGGCCGGAGGTCGGGAGTTCAAGGAGCGCGCGGGCTTCAATCGACGACGCGGGGCCATGCGAAGGCGTGTCCACCAAGTCAATGGACACAAATTCATGGCAACATTCTTGAGACAGCCAACATTTTGTTCGCATTGCCGAGAGTTCATTTGGTAAGTGCATCATCATTGTCTTCTGGGCGAAAAGGGGGAAAAAGGGGGAGAGTTTAAGTGGTGGCAGAGTTGGGAATAATTGCCTGTGATACCTCTCTTCTAACTCACTTGGGAGTTTACAGCCCATGAATTCCATTGCAATAACTCATCACAATTGGACTCTTCGATGATATCTCCTAACACTTCTCATTGTGTGGTGTTGAATAACATCCTATATATATGGGAATTCCCTTTGCCTGGACACACTTTTCCCTGAAGAAGAAGAAGGCTCTATTGAGTGATGCAATCGAGAAAGTTTGCTTCCATACGAAGAGTGAATTATCAAATTGCATTACGATGGCGAATTGAGTGTGTAAAGTTGTAATTAATGACAAGAGATGAATTTTGCGCTGATGCAGAGAATTTACACAAATGTAATTCTCAATTTTCATTTAGAGGAAAACTTCTGGAAACCAATTAATTTTCATCTGATATTTAAACTCTCACAAATAACAATGCGAAATTTGCAAATTGCACACAATAAGCCCACTTCTTTCGGGTGAATTCCACGGCAAAGGGAATTCAGCAATTCGTCCTTCTTCACTTGTATGTCACACACAATTTATACATGGTGTAATAACTCCTTTCCATTGCATCTTCGTTCTTCTTTTTGTTTTATAAATGCCTGAGAAAATGTGCACCGTTTTGACAATTTTTTAATTCACAGGGGACTCGGTAAACAAGGCTATCAATGTCAAGGTATGGAAAATTGCAATTTATCTTCGTGTTAAATTCAATTGTCGTTGAAATTGGGTTTCATTTTCTTCTTTTACCATTCTGTCCTCCTTCTCCTCTTTTCTTATTACACACACTCTTTAATTTCATCCCCTCAATTGATAATATCCGTTTTGATAGTGATGATAAAATGGAGTTGCGCTCAAATGGCATGACTTTTTGCTCTTCGTTTCTTCTTTTTTTTCTGTTTGTGTGTCTTCTCGCTGTGATTAATATGCGTTTTGAGTTGAGGAATCGAGGGCGGTGCGGGGATTCTGATGGCGAGAGAGAGTGAGAGAGTGCGAGAGAGAAGGAGCGTCTGCCGATGTGGGGGCATATCTGAGACATTACTCATGAATCATGTCTAAAATGCCCCCAGTGCAAATCATCGCGCGCGCGGGCGAATGTGGGGGAGAAGAAGTGCATGAAAAGTGACATTATTTTTAGCATGAAGTTATAATAAGATTTATTAGATGGATAAATTGAGTTAAATTTGTGAATTCATCTCACTTTGCATATGAACACTGATTAACTCCAATAACTCAATTCTATTTATAGTTTGTACTTGTGTGGTTCACAAAAGATGTCATCGATCTGTTGTCACAAAATGCCCAGGGATGAAGGAGGAGGTGAGTGTGTTGCACGTCCACTAAAAATCAATTGAATCAATTTGGTAATAATTCATAGCGCGCGCCATCCAAGAGAAGTTTAGCTGTTGTGCTTGTATCTTTGGTGTGAGAATGTCACTTAGCGCCTTTTCTTTTCTCTCTCTCTCTCTCTGTCACTCTGCCTGGAGCAGGGAAAGCAGGAGCTGCCGCACGGCACCGGACAGCGCTTCAACGTGAACATCCCACATCGCTTTGTCGTGCACAACTACAAGCGGTTCACATTCTGCGACCACTGCGGCTCGCTGCTGTATGGGCTGATCAAGCAGGGGCTGCAGTGCGAGGTGTGCAGCATGAATGTGCACAAGAGGTGCCAGAAGAATGTGGCGAACAATTGTGGCATCAACACGAAACAGATGGCGGAGATTCTCAATGAGATGGGTATTTCGCCAGACAAGCAGGCGCCGCCGCGGCGGTCCAAGTATCTCAATCAGGCGCCCGGCGAGAGCTCAACAGCCAGCGAGAGGTCGTACGACAGTGGCGTGCACTCGGAGACGTACTCGGACAAGGCGAGCCTGGAGGATGCCAAGGCGAAGGAGGCGTACCAGCACTCGGATCACAGTCACGATGCCGGAGGCAAGATGGGCCTCAATGACTTCAATTTCATCAAGGTGCTGGGTAAGGGCAGCTTCGGCAAGGTGATGCTGGCGGAGAAGAAGGGCACGGACGAGGTGTATGCCGTGAAGGTGCTGAAGAAGGATGCCATCATTCAGGATGACGACGTGGACTGCACAATGACGGAGAAGCGCATCCTGGCGCTGGCGGCGAAGCATCCCTTCCTCACGGCCCTGCATTCCTGCTTTCAGACGCCCGATCGCCTGTTCTTCGTCATGGAGTACGTGAATGGTGGTGATCTGATGTTCCAGATTCAGCGAGCGCGCAAGTTCGACGAGGGTCGCGCCGCCTTCTATGCCGCCGAGGTGACACTGGCATTGCAATTCCTCCACCGTCACGGTGTCATCTATCGTGATCTGAAGCTGGACAACATTCTACTGGACCAGGAGGGCCACTGCAAGCTGGCGGACTTTGGCATGTGCAAGGAGGGCATCCTGGACGGCGTGCTGACGTCCACCTTCTGCGGCACGCCGGACTACATTGCGCCGGAGATCCTGCAGGAGCTGGAGTATGGGCCGTCGGTGGACTGGTGGGCCCTTGGCGTGCTGATGTACGAGATGATGGCTGGACAACCACCGTTCGAAGCTGATAACGAAGACGATCTGTTCGAATCAATTCTCCACGATGATGTTTTGTATCCCGTCTGGTTATCACGTGAGGCGGTGTCAATCTTAAAGGGTGTGTGTTTAACACTAATTTCACTCATGAATCACACAAATTTCTAACTTTTGCTCACTCTCTTGCCTAGGTTTTATGACGAAAAACCCTGCGAGACGCTTGGGATGCACAGGAAATGAGAATCAAATAAAAAGTCATGCATTTTTCAAGGATCTTGATTGGGATGCGTTGGAAGTGCGAAAAGTGAGACCCCCCTTCAGGCCTAAAATTGTAAGTCACTTTTACTCTCTTATTTCCCCCCTGAAAGACCGACTAAAGTGCTTTTTTTCTGCCCCCCTTAATCATCACAGAGAAGTCCACGGGACGCATTAAATTTCGATGCCGAATTTACCAAAGAGGAACCTGTTCTGACACCTGTTCCAGTAGATACAATTCGTTGCATAAATCAAGATGAATTTGCTGGTTTCTCATTCGTCAATGCGGATTTTGGTCCAGAACGAAGAGTTTGCTAAATCAAATTCACTAAATCAATTGGTTTTTGTTTAGTTTTTAAACATATTTTAAAGGAGGAAAAGAAAAGAAAGTGAATCTTTTAATTATTAAATGTATGTTGACGTGCGAGTAATGTCATATTAAGTCGTCCTCTTACCACTGTTAAAATTTATTTAAAAGTTATATGCCATGAATAGGTAAAAAGAAGAAAGGGAGTAAGAATTTCGGAAATTTCATGTGAATTCATTTTATATCCTTATTGATTGAGAGAGGATTCAGTGAAACGATACATATTTTATTGTGAATGTCGTCTTTTTGTCGGGAAAGAGGATGATGTCATTTGTTTTTTTTTTTTTTGGTTTTATCTCCACTAACTAAAGTGAAAAAGAAACACATTTTTTGAAGAAAAAGAAATCAACAAAATATAAGCAATTAGATTAGAGGAAAAAAAACACAAGAGACAGTGAGAAGTAAAACAAAAAAAAATATTGATAGAGAAAATATTGAGGAATGAAGAGGAGTAATAGGAAATATTTAAGGAAAAGAGATAAATAGGAAATTATTAAGGAGGAAAATGAATGTAGAGATCAAAGAGAAGTATCCTTTATCAGAAATTGCATGGTGTTTTTTGATAAAGGACACAATCTCGTCTGCAGAACGTGGGAAAATGATGATGATTGATTTGTTTTTATTGTTTGTGGTGTTTTGGTAAATGTAACTTCACTAATTACTGAGACAACCCGAAGATAAAATTCTGTGACGTGGCCAAATATCATTTCCAAAATTATATAGTTTCACTATAAAGATGAGAAGCATAAAAGTACACATTTTATTCAGAGAATAATTTCACTTTTATGCATGGCGTTGAGTTGTTTTGACAAATTGTCTGTAAATTGTTAGCGAAGAAGAACTACAATTTTCACGCGTTACACATTAAATAGTCTCAGATTTCACTCAAACACTCAAGTTAAAATCCTCACACTATTCTTTGAGACCTGCAGAAAATGTGAATCTATGCTTGATTTTCCTTATAAATTTACAAATGGATTTACTGTCCTTTGGAAGTTGTCACAGAAGAAAAAAAACTCAAATCATTTCCGATTTTTCGTTATATAAATATTGGAATTCCCACAATTGAGATTTTGAAAGAACAAAAAGAAGAAAACTTTAACTATATATTTGATATATTTATTGTCTATTACTTCAATCGAATTTTTTGAGTGGTCTTGAGAGAGCAAAAATCTCATACATTAGCTTACTATTCCGAGCTGCTGAAGGTGTTTTAGAGGAGGAAGAGGAAGATGAAGGAAGAAGTACAAAAACAATGATTTCCTTTGGATTTTAGCATAAAATGCACATCACCGACTACTTCTACTTCGTTTGGTGGCTATTTTTCAAGAGAAATGAGGATCAAAGAGATGCAACATCTCGACATAACACAAGATTTTGCTTTATTTTTCAAAGGTTCTCCCTGTGCTATTTGTGCAATAGGCGAGGAATCTTTCTCAGTATACGCTTCTATCGCACTTGATGAAATATTTATTGATTAAGTATTTTCTGTTGTTGCGCTCATATTGATAATATTTTATTTTCTAGTCACTATATTTGTAGTTAAAGAGAATTGTTGTATATTTTTGTTTTTTTTACATAGGCTGTAATTGTATTTTAATCATGGATTTATGCTTTACAATGAATGAAGGAAGGAAGATTTCAATTTGTGAAAATGCTTCTATTGCATATCGATTTGTTCAGGTTGTTATTTGGTTTTCTTTTAGTATTATTATTATTATTATCATTATTATTATTATTGAGATCTTATCTTTTGTGCTCAATAGTAGTGAAATTTGTCTCAGCAAATAATCATGTTTGTGTTTTTTTTTGGGGTAAAGAAACTGATGACAGACACAGAAGAAGAAGAAAAAAAACCCATTAAATGGAGAAAAAAGTAAGGATTGTGAGAAAATTATTACTTTCTAGTATTAATGATTTTTAAACTGAATGATCTGTTATTGTAATCTCTGTGCCAATGAATTATGAGATGGTTTTGAGTTCTTTTTTTCGAATAATATATCTATATATATGAGAATCCCTTTTTATATGAGATTAAAAAAGAAAGATGAATATTTACAAGTAAACTTTAAAAAAAGAGAAGATGGAAAAAACAATTATTGAGCACAATGTTTTATCTTATATTCAACTTGTTATAAAGTATGAAATCCAATTACATGAAAGATGAGGAAAAAAAGAGGATAAATATTTATAAATGTAGCATTAAAACATAGTATTTTATATAGTGAGCAGAAGATAGAAATGCAAGAGGAAAATATGAGAAATTGAATATTGTGTTGAAAAAAAAAGGGAAAAAAAACTCTTTGGATTCTATCAATGATCATTTTATTGAAGAATACTATGGAAGCAGTGTGAAAAAAGAATTATTTTATAGAATTGTTTCTTACCTATCTACTGAGGAGAGAACCTATTTGTAAATCATAGTATTTCATATGAAATAGAAGGGAAGAATTGATCATTGCAGCATCACTGGACTCCACATAAATAGAGTATAAAATATAAGTAATAATCATAAACATGATGGTAACGCGCGATGACTTTGGCCATATATGCTAGAAGAGATAAATCTATTTTTATTGTCTAAGGTGCCAGATATTAAAGAAGAAGGAAAAAACATGCTTTTCTATCTCGATAGTGAATTTTGTTGGGCAATAATAGTGAAAAAAATATCTGATCATATTTTATCTTTCTTGCTCTGTAATATTTAAAACTCATGCTGTGGAATTCTTCTCAGTTTTTCTTTCTCCTTATGATTATTCCGAGATTCACGATAGAGAAATGAAAAAATATATAGGAGAAATTTAAGCATAGGAATTCTTAAACAATATGAAATCATTTTTGTGTATTGTGAATCGTTTCTCATGAAGTCAAAAAAGAAAAAAGAATAAACAAAACTGTGTTGTCAATAGTGATGAAAATAGATAAAAATGAAGATTATGGCTAACATCAAAATTATGAGAAGAAGTTGATTTGGGACATTAAGATTAAAAGGAAAAAACCCATACCTATAAATTAAATATAATATGTATACATCAGTGTAAATGTTTTGCTTCGTGTTGATGAGATATAATCTGAGGTGTAATATTCTATTCAAAAGAAAAGAAGATGAGAAAGAAAGTAAGAGATATATTCATAAATATTACATTAAAAGAAGAAAGGTGTCACTAAATGCATTACTACATTTAAATAATAAATACAACAAATTTTTATTGGTCAGTCAAGTGGTAAAAATTAGCACACGAAGAGAGTTACATTGGATTGAAACTACATTTGCATAGTGAAATCAACAAGATTATATAGATCAACTCCATTGCCAAGTATAACTTCATTACGTATTGTTGAGTTTGTCACAATTTCTCAATAACTATAACCACTACCAAGATGCCCAAGTGGGGAAATGGGAGTCTCTTTGCAGCGACGAATATGATTTTCTCGAAAAGAGAGCCCGAGAAGAGCCGTGCAAATGTAGTTTCAAGTGCCAAATAGAGGAGAAATCACCTCATTGTATCCTATAGTAAATGAGATTAATGATAAAGTGTTAGAACAGCGCGCAGTGACTTTGGCCATATGCTAGTAAATGAGATTAACAAAATTCTCACAACACTTTGCTGAAAGTGTGTTGAGAACCAGAGGAAAAAAATGATGAAGAGTCGCACTATTCAATTAGAAAGTCAGAACAAGAGATAAAAAGAGCGCAATTTCAGAGAAATAGAAAGCATATAAAATTACCTCTAGACTTAGTAAGATTAAACAAAAAAAAAAATGGGAAGATTTTCAAATCAAATTCATATTGGAACATGCAAAAAGAAATGTGGACAGGAGAAAATCGTGGTGATTTTCCGCGTGGATGAAATCCAAATTCGAGAGGTGAATTTGACGAAATTTGCTTTCAACTAGCCAAAGAATGTAAACTATAATTATTATAAAAGAAAAAAGAACTGTTGAAATGATGGGATTAATATTAATTGTTAGCGTGTGTCTGTGTTATGGAGAAGAAGAAGAGGAAAATATGCAAAAAATACAAAAGAAAACATGAGGAATTGAAAGAGATTACAGATGGATTATTGCAAAAAAAATTGTTTGTCAAATTTAAAATCAAAGAGAAATAAGAAAAAAATATAGCGATGATGAAGAGTAGATGATAAAGAAGAAGAAAAAATATTAGTGAAGAACAAGTTTATTTGTAAATTTAATGTGTGTGTAAAACATGAAAAAAACAAGCAGATCTTGATAAGGAGAAATCCTAAACAATATTAGTAAATGTAAGGAAGGATAATATTCAGCAGGGGTCCATTGAGCAACAAAATCACGGCGCCCTCGTTCGTGTCACGAACGAGGGCGCGTGATCTTTTCGGGACAATTGTGGCACTTTCTCTAACACGGCTGATTAAACCCCAAAAAAAAATGAAATTTAAGAATGAAGATTAAAAATATCAATTTTTAAGATCTTTCCATAAACTCTAAATTGTGGCATTTGGCATTGATCTAGAGAGAAGATATTTTGTATTATTATTTGTTATTTAAACACTGTATTCTCTCAAGAAGGATCTCATATTTCTCCTCACTTTGATTTTTATCGTCCATCTATTATGTCCAGAAAGTATTGTTTATTGATATATTTTAGTCACAACCTATTCTAGACTTTATCAAATGCTATCAATTTGGCAAAGTGCACAATTGTCCCCAAAGAAAAACACCCAAAATTCTAGTCCCGCCTTTAGGAAATTATAAATTAAGAGAAACATAAAATGGCAGAACATATAAAATAAAGAAATAGCAAAAAGAGAAATAACGTACAGTGTAGTAAATATTAAGAACTAAACAATATACTCCCACCATAATGCAGAGAAGATGAGGAGGAGGAGGAAAAATAATATGAAATATTCAATAAAGGAACATAGAAAACAGTCGAAAGTAAGATAACAGAGAAAATAATAAACTTATTACAGCCAGAAGAAGTAAGATTTTGACCCCTGTTTGTCAGTGTTTTAAGAAAAGATGAAAAAAGCTAAAAAAAAATTAATGTAATTTTAGTAAAAGAAAGAAAGAAAAAAACTTGTTTAGGTAGCTATTAACATAATACTAAAGATGAGAGAGAGAGAAATATACCTAAAGAGAAAAAAATCTTCAAACATTACATTTTAAGTCAGAAGAGAACAAAAAAAAACATTATGTGGTGAAACAATCGTGAAGAATTGTATATTTCTTAAGTTCGACATTCAAATATCCAGAGAGAATGGCATGAAAGTTGTAACATCATCATCAAATCACAGCCCATTGATTTAGAACAAAGAAAGGAGAGAAAGATCAATTGGTTTATTTTGATGGGATTTTCGGTGATGAAAAAAAAATTTAATGTAGACCAGAAATCGGGGCGAATCTAATCTACATTAGAGAAAAAAAGAGAACTTTAAATCAAACATTTTAGATATTAAAGTGATGAAATGTGGAGTGAAATTGAGATGGCAGAACATATGGAAAGCAATTAGGGCTTGAATTGTTTTTCATATGTCCTTCAAAAATGATGGAGTTTTGTGTTTTATTGTTTATTTCTTGTGAAGGGGAAAAAAGCTGAAGAAAAAAGATATTCATATGGAGAATTTAAACGTCAATCTTTGAGTAAGAGAAATGCAAAAGAGAAAAATTTTAACAAAAATGAAGGTATAGGGAGGAAAAAAAATGTAATAACATACATAAAAATCATAATACCTTTCATGGTTCCCGTTATATTGATGTAATGTCGCAATTAATAAATAATATATACTAAATAACTAAAAATATAAACACTGGACTTTTTCTTTTTTGACTGTGGAGAAATTCCTTCAGTTGAAGAGTTATTGATTAAACAACAGTTGAATATTTTCACTCAGTCTTCTCGCAATTCACTTGCGGCATTTCTATGCACAAGAGAGCCAAAGTGTGAAGCATGAAGTACCCAAACACGGTGGACAGGAACACCCTGAAGGCCTACATTGACCCGAAAGTGGTCAGGAGACACAAACCTCAGGACGGTCTGAATTCCCTGGACCTCAAGTGGAACGTCAACAGTCCCGAATCGCTGCAGATCCTGAGCATTGAGGCTCTGGCAGAGAGCTGGACCATCAATCCTGTCTACTCCGAAGTGCCCTTCGATGTGGAGAGAAACTACTTGCTGGACATTCTGAGTCTGGACTTTCCCGTGGCGGATTTATCGGCTAAGATACAAGAAGATGTCTTTTGGGAGCGCTTTTTCATGTCTCGCTGGCCACAATGCTGTCCTCAGACGAGAGATCGGCCCTGGATCAAAGTATTCATGGAGAAGTACCTAGCGGAGAAGCTGGAGAATCTCCGGAGCGATGACTACGAAGAGGAGCGTCTGGTGCAGCTGCTGGAGCTCTGTGCGCCTCACGTGGAGAACCTCATTGTCAACCAACTCCAGCCCTCGATGGCTTCCGTAGAGTCAGAGCACAATGATCACGTTGTGCCGCTGAACATTGTCCTGTCCAATCTGCAGGAGTTGCGGAAAATCGACCTCACCTTCGATCTGAAGAACGTCGGGACGAATTTCTTCCTGGGCTGTGCAAACATCTCAGCAAATGACATCAAGAAGCTGTCCGAAGGCCTGGCAAAGTGCTTCGAATTGCAGGACTTCCGACTGCACAGCAGCAAATTGGACGCTCAGATGCTGAAGCAATTGGCTGTGGCGCTGGACAAGGGATGTCCCAACCTCGAAGTCCTGTCCTTTCCACACTGTCGCTGTGGAGACGCTGGATTGGTGGCTTTCGTGGAAGCTCTGGGATCGGACTCCTTCCCGAACATCCACACATTGATTCTGACTAACAATTTTCTGAGTGAGTAGAAAATTGCTGATGAATTCAAGGTTTTATTTCAGGACAATTTCTCTTACCTTTGGCAGCTTTCGATGGGATTCTGAATCTCGCAACTGTGATTAAGAGACGCAAAATCCAGAAACTGGACTTGAGACTGAATCCTATCAAAGCCAACGGAGCATCTGGAATCTTCGGCATTCTCAAAGACATCCCGATTAGAGAGTGAGTCTTTCCCATATTCTTTTGCTCCTTTTATTCCTATTAATTGCTAATCCCGTCGCATTTCGCCAGATTGAACTTGTCCTGCTGCTCACTGGATAACTCAATGTCTTTCATGCTGCTGAAGATCGTCGAAGAGTGCAAATCACTTGAGAGACTGAATTTATCCGTCAACAGATTCACTCACGAATTGGGCGAACAAATCACAGAAATCATTCCTCGTAATACAAATCTTCTTGAATTTGATCTTCGCAACACAGAAGTCTCAACAATATCGCGAATGATAATTGACGATTATGTTCTGAAGAATCAATTGAGAAAGAATTCTCAGTAAACTTTATTCAGATCTCTTGACTTCACGCATGATGTACATTTTGTCAGAATCTCCCTGTTGGCGCTCTTTCTCGTGGCGCTTGATGAACTCAGACGTGAAGAACATGCAGATTGCGCCACCGAAGACGCACGCATAGTGGAGAAATCCGCTGCCAAAGGTCCTCCGGATGAAGATTATGCCCACATTGAAGTTGCCCAGGAAGAAGAAATTCGATATGATGGCCGGAATGAGGAGAATTGTGCCCAGCGCGGCGTTCCATCTGTATTCCCAGCTCTCACTGAAGTGCGTCTGCATAAATTGGCGATACTGAGGCGTCTTCGACAGTCGCCGTGCGAAGGTTTCCACCATGACGCAGCAGTAATTCGTCAGTGCCCAGACGGAGATGTAGAAGAAGAATCCGTGCCAGAAGTAGATGAACACGAAGGTGACGAAGCTCGCCATCAGCTTTTTGACTGTCGAGGAGGATTTTTCACTGAGTTCGCTATAAATGTAGCGAAAGAGGAACTCATAGAGTCCGTGATCGAAGTTCTTCCACATCTCAGAGTACAGATGAATTCTGTAAATGCACTTTGGCTTCCTGGGCGGATCAATGCCATCGAGTCGGGCGAAGGCAGTGCTGATTCCGTACTCCACCACGTACTTGATGTGGAAGAGTTGTCCCATGAGACAGCCAAAGCCGTACAGAGCCCAGGAATCCAACTGCGCCACGATCTTCTCATTCGTCTGCAGATTGTTGACGTAGAAGAAGTGCTGAGCAGCTTCCAGGAAGAGCATCCAGAAGATGGTTCTTGTAATATCCCTGAAGAAGATAAGAATCTTCCCTGTGTCCAGTTCGGTGTATTCTTCTGTTAGTGATCTCTTAAATCGCGAATAGACTATCGTTGGCCCAAGATGCAGCGTGGGAAAGTAGAAGACATATCCAAGGAAGGCTTTCAGCGAGTACAACTCATCCTTATCCCGCCCAGTTGCACGATTCTCAATGCAGTCAATCCCGAAGCTGATGCATCTCAGCAGATTCCACGCGAAAGCTATGTAGATCTCGAAAGTTTCATTCTCTGCAAATTCCAACTGTTCCGTGATGAAATTGTAGACTGTGAGCGTCTTGAAGGCATTCAGCAGCATGAGAAACACCACGCTGACTATCCAGAAGACACTCTTAGACACACTCTGTGAGAGGCTGTAGAAGATTAAGGCACTGCCGAGGAAAACCATCGTCACGCCGCTTCCGTATCGCGTGAAGATGAAGATAATTGAGATCGCAGCGTAGCAAAAAGGAGAAGGTTTTCGTGTGAAAATCCTCACGATTTGACTCAAGAGAAGGTGAATGATGTACAAGAAGGCGTGATCAATGAGGAATTTCCGCCAAATATGCCACTCGTAGTCCATGTCATCTTTTGGCCTCCCGAAGATGCTCCAGCCCTCGCTGAAGCCATAATCTTCACTCTCTTTGTAGATTTCTGCAAAGAAAATCACGCGCGGTAGTATTAAAAGCGACTTTACGCCCATCTCAAGCATACTTACGATCACTGTAGGTGAAAACGCGGTACGATGAGTAAGAGAGGAAGATGAAATTCAAAGTCAAATACGCGCCAATTTCTCCAATCGGTAAATACCGGACCATTGTTGCTCAGTTTCCCGGTTTTTAGCTTCGTCTCTTTCACTCACTGGACAGCCCCTTTTGTTTACAAATAAGACAAGAAGTTTAATCGTGGTTTTCCATCAAATTATCACTTCAACGATGAACTTTTGATCACAGACTGTTCACAGGGCAACTTATCTAGCAATTGAGTGTGATTTTTCTAATACTGCATGAGATGTTAACGTAAAATAAGGTAAACAGCTGCTCTTTGTGGGAATTCACATTCACACTCGCTTCGCTTCACATGTGAAACCAGAGACTCGAACCACTTGCAGTGCTTCTAAAACATTTTGGTGAAATTTGCTGGCATTTCAAATGCTTCAGGAATTTAGGATTGCAATAAAAATCCACTTTTATCACAGAGAATATGCAGAAATTGTGAATTTTAATAAATGCACTTACTGCTGAGAAAAAACCACTCGTTTAGTTGTCGAGGAGACTTCCAAATGCAGACTGACGAGCATTTTTCATCGTGGCAGAGAAATTGAAGTTCGCGCTTCTCTTTTAATAGTTTTTCCGTGACTCAAGAGAAAATTGTGTCTCCAAAGCAACAGCACTTGAAGTGCAAGAATTGCGGCAAAAATGAAACGCAGGACAATAGCTGAAGACCTCTTCTTGTCTTCGTGCAGGAATTCGAGTCGTCTGAGTGGACACGAGGGAAGCTCAAGTGTCGCAATTGCTCCTCAACAGTTGGCTCATATAATTTTCCCGGGGGTGGAAATTGCGCCTGCGGAAAATTCCTCTCACGTCCGCTGCAATTGTATTTGCGAGTAAAATAGACTTTCCACGGTGAAATTGTATGAAAAAATGTTTGTATTTATTTCTGAAGCATAGAATAAGAATTACAAAACTAATGTTTATCCCTACATTTTGGTTGCTCTTCATTTTCGGAAAAATAAAAAAAAGAACCCTTAATCCTATTCTTGGTTGTTTCTTTGTTCGCGTGAAATCTTACGATTTAATATCACATTGAATGTACATAATTTATTAGATAAATTTGCAAAATTCTTCAGATAGAATTAAAATGTATAAAATTTATAGGTTGTGCGCAAAACTCGTTCGCAATAAATATTAAGAAAATCTATCGACTAGAATATTACTCAAACGTCTCTCTTTAAGTACAAAAATAATTTTACAAAGTTCTCTCTTTCGTCTTTTCATAGGTTTTTTTTATACATATAATCAATTTGTGATATGATTGTGAATGTGAAGATGAAGATTTATCGCTTCTTTTGCCACTTAAAATGAGTTTGATCCTCTTCTAAACATTGTTTTCGAACGCCTTTTGACTCTTTCGTTTTCTTTTTTTAATTGATTTGTACCACTTATGATTATACTTTTAAAACTTAATCCAGAGGCACAGATTTCAATTTTTACACAATACTACATCTAATATTCCTTTCAATTCGATTTAGTGTGAAATAAAAAAGAAAACTCATGAAAATGACAGACAATGGCACACAATTTTACAAATTGCAATTCTAATCCTCAAGCCTGCTTCTTCATTGCCAAGTTTATGATTTTCAATGAAAGAAAAGTTCGTGATAAAATTTCTAAATTAATTTTTTAAAAATAAATGTGCACAAATAAATTATATTTCTCAAAACCAAAAATCCAGTAAAGATTTAATGTAATCAACTGAATCGTCTTCACAAGGCAATCCTTTGTGGCTTTATCCTTAACAACACTGTGCTCAACACAAAAAAACACTTCGCGATGAGGGAAAAGGAAAATATAAGTTAATTGAGAAGCGCTCGCGCTTTCTTGTGAGTTTTAAGGAAAAATTAGGTTTCACTTATTGATATGGCATAAATTACGTGATAACTAAGTTTCTTCGTTTGACTAGAATTCCCATCTTTTGCGTGATTCCCGTGAGAATCTATTTACACCTTAAATGCTATACTTTGAGACTTGTCACACCACGAGTGCCGTTGTGTGGCGGATCACGGACGGCCCGTTGCGGAGGTGCGCCAGAGCCGCGGCGGCCAGATTCTCCTCCTCCGTGAAGGCATCGTCGATGATCTGCATCCTGGGCGAAGGCGTCGAGCGCTCAGATGACGACGTGGTGGACGGCGTGCGCATGGAGTAGCGGAAAATCATCTCCGTGATGTTCTGTTCGGCGCCGCGCGGTGGATCACTGCATGAGTCACTACTGCTGTGTGACTCCACCTTGTCCTTCTTGTGCGTGGCCATGTGCTTTCGCAGGTAGGCCATCCTCTTGAAGAACTTGCCACACTCCGAGCACGGGAATTGGTGCTCCGACTCACCGCTCTCCTGGCGCCGCGACACCAGCTGCTCCTTGGGCTTGTGCCAGCGCCTGTGCGACGCCAAATTGGCCGGACAGTTGAAGCGCTTCCCACACTCGGGGCACCGGTACTCCAACAGAACGATGCACGAGCACCGGTGCCGCGCCAATCCGAAGGCATCCTCGAACTCATTGCGGCACAGGCGACACCGATACGCGCCAATCACATTGGGGATGGCGGCAATTTCCGCCTTGGCCTCCTCCGTCACCTCCACGATGTTGTACTGCGGATCGATGTCGCCGATCTGGTCCTCCCCGTTCTCGTCGATCTCCTCCAGCGGCCGGATTATCGTGCCCGACACAGGCGACGACGTGTCCTCGTCGAACTTCAGCTTCCTCACCGCCTTCGTCCGCTTGTCGGCGCGCCCCACGGACTTGCCCTTGCTGCTGGGCGTCCTTTGCGGAGCCTCCGCGGCCTCCGCCTTAATCTCCACCTTCACCTCACTCTCGCGGTAGCGCTTCTTCGGCGGCGACGGAGTGCTGGGCGGCGTGATGGCATCCAAACTCGGACGCACCGACAAGTCCAGCGGCGTCTCCGTGAGCACTGTGTACTGACGCTTCATGCTCACCGGCAAGTCCGCCACCGTGGTCAGGAGACCACCAGTGACGAGTTGCCGAAATGGCAAAAACTGTTGAGATTCCATCTCATAATTCTCACATCGACAACTCCTCGACTCCTTCTCTCTCTCGCGATGCCCGCACAGAACAGCAAAAAAGGTGGCAAAAAGAAAATATGGTCAATCAACACAACCGGAAAAGCAAACTCTCTCAAAAAATCACTATATATAGACGAAAAAACACAGAGCCGATGCCGCCACGGCGAGAAATGAGGAGTGAATGAGTGTGCAAGTGCTGGGAATGTTGGTATTTATGGGATTCCCCAGGCACTTCCAGTGGCTGAAACACTCGCGGACTCTCGACTCCCCTCATCCAATGGCAGAGGCGCTTGCGCACCCCATCAGGGAAAGCATCACACGCAGCTGGAAACGCCTTTTCGGCACGCGACTCTTTGCCCAACACGTGCGATATTGGGGTCCTTCTCTCGCTGTTCCTCTTTCGCCTCGCATTCATATTCACATGTCGGTCGCGAGGGTTCCCAGCCCTTCGCGCCATAGGCCTCAATATTTCCCTGCGATCGGAAAGGTTTGAAAGATAAGAAAGGATATTCTAAAGCCTGTAGAGATCTTTGACAGGTCAAGAACAAGCAAACAATCTCTCAATTGATGAGATAATTGAATCTCTTCTCCTGACGATAACTGACTTCAAGCCATTCTCAATATCTTCGGATTTTCTTGTTTTACATGCGATTTCACGTGAAAAGTTCCCACTGAAAAATACCCGCCAAATTTCGCCCTACAGTAAACTTGTTTGGAAAGAATGCTAGGAAATCCCTTCACCACTCTGCGGACAGTGTTCGATGCATATTCACTAACAAAAAATCCTCACCATAGTCACACTCGTTGCATCATACCAACGGGGCGCGGAGGTGAGCAGAGAGGGTTGGCAACCCCTAAAAAGTTCATATACTATTCAGGAACGCATTCGAGTGTGACGCATTTGAAAGAACGCACCAAGAAAAACCCCTTTTGCCGGATTCCAGGGACGAAAACTCCCGTGAAATATACATGCAATTCACCCGAACAGAAGGAAGGGTGGAAAAAAAACACCCAATTGAATGTCTCGCCCTGATGAATTACCATTATTTTCCATTTCGACGGAATTATATGGTGACCAGTAGGAGAAATCGCAAACAAACCACAAATAGACGGATAAATTTAGGAACATAATAATTTACACCACTAATTGGGATATTATTGGAATGTTGTGGGTGTTATTGTGAAGCATAAGTCGTATAAATCAATTCTCTGTCACGTGAAATTACACTTGACCGTGATAGGGAAAAAAATTGTAGAATATCCAATCACTTAAGACTGACCAGCTCAAATTGGATCTGGGGAAATATTGTGGAAAAGGTCGTAAAACTCTTTTGGAGCGTTCTTCTAATGGGAATTGTGAAAATCACAAATATAAGCATGTTGTACATATCTCTATAATGTATAGAATTCAACGAGATCATTACATGAGACCCACAATAACTTGCCACAGACAATAAGAACGGAGAGCTTGAATCATTTATTAGTGATTCAATGCGAACATTCGTTGTGTTCAAGCCATTCAATGTCGACAAGAAGAGCCTCTCGTCACCCAACACTCACCCAATGGTTGCATGAGCAGTTGCGTGTCTTTTGGTGAGTGAAACACCAGCAAAGGGGTGGAATTTTTCTTGTGTTTTTCACTGCCAATTGAATATCACGATATTTTCAGTGGCACTTGGGGAAAAAAATTATATCTTTGGCTCTCGTTTTCAAGGAATCGCAAGGTGAAGTAAATCCTATTCCGAGGGATGTCTACAAGTATGTTCCATGGCAAAAAGTCCCCTTGGCATTTCTTCACGAAAAACACACCCGAGACGGGCGAAATAATAGGGGAAGATTTCACTTGAAACACTCTTTAAGCAAGTGTTTACAAATATACTGCTCTCCCTGGATTTCTTTTTATTTCTCAATTTGCTGGTTGTTTTCATTTGATGGGGCGAGGGTTCTTTTCTCTGTTATTTTATCCATTAACCAAACGAGGGATTGGGCTTATCACTTTTCCCACAATTTTAATGCTTCGTTTATCACTGAACAGTGTTCAATGAACACCCACAATATTCAACTCTCTACTGCTTGTATTGTGTCGAAATAAAATGCCACAGAAGTGCTTGTCATTCAGTGAAGCATTTGCAATTAATCATCGAGTGAATAATGTTATGGGAAGTATATTTATGGGATGAAAGGATCATTTTATTGTGGGGATTGAGACAAATGCAGTTGGAATGGCAAATCACTTGCATTTTCCCACAAAATCACAATCAAATTTCAGGATAATTCATATAATTCCTCTCATGAGATTTGCTGTGGACATCAGATGACATGCGAAGAAACCTGATAAATATCACATGAAGTCTGTTGTGTTTTAACTCTTTTATTGTGGAGAAGTATTTACAAGTGTTAGTATCTCCGCCATCTTGTCCCAAAGTGCTAAACCTATCAATTCCCTATTTACATTCTGAACTTATACGCGTACTACAATCTCCCCCCCTTAAATTAGAAAACTATTTACATCTTATCTAAACTTAAACTTTAACTTGGCGGATTATTAAAAACTGCAATTTATAGATTTAGTCGGTTTGGCGGCCTCCGTATTCTACAAGTTCTACGACACCCGGTCAACACACCATCCGGAATTTCATCCTCTCCCCGACCAGAGTACAGAGAAAAGCCCTCAAGGGAATTTGAAGAATCATTAGAATTCTCATCTCTTACTTCACTCTCATTTTCAGGATGTGGAATGTCACTTCGGTCTTCCTCGACTGCCCAAAACCTTTGATCTTCATCAATCGAACTTTCTCCAGAACTTGATTCTTCAACAAGTTCGCCCACTTTACGCAGCTGATTTATATGTCTCTTCCAAATTCGTGAATCATCCAATTTGATCACATAATGAACCTTCCCCAATCTATTTAAGATTCGACCAAATCTCCACTTCGTACCTCGTACATAATTCCTCGCCGCTACTCTGTCACCCACGTCGAATGCCCTCTTGACTGGTGTTACCGCCACCGTTCGTGTTTTTACTTCCTCAGTAGGCAGCATTAAACCCAGCCGTGTTCTAATTTCCCTGTTCATTAGCCGGCAGCTCGGCGTGACTCCAGTAGCAGCGTGTGGAGTGGACCGATAAATCACTAGCAAATTGCACAATTTTCTCTCCAGGTCCTGACTTTCAACATCCTTCAAAATCTCCAATTTTTCCTTAAAAGTCCGTACGAACCGTTCTGCCTGCCCATTCGTAGCTGGATGATAAGGACTCCCCGTCTTATGAATGATCCCATTCATTTTGCAGAACACTTCAAACTCCTGACTCATAAATTGACGGCCCTGATCGCTCACCAACACTTTAGGTAGCCCATGTGTGGAAAAAATCTCTCTCAACTTCTTGATCGTCGTATCAGTGGACATGTTTCCACAAACTTTCACTTCCGGCCACTTAGAATAGGCATCCACGAGAATCAATAAATATTTCCCTTGTACAGGCCCCGCATAATCCACATGAACCCTCTCGAAAGCCTCTTTCTCTTCTTCCCAAATGTGAGACTTATCCTGCACAGGATCAGCCTTCCTCAATTGACATTGTGAACAATTTCGAGCCTTCTCTTCTATCTCTTGGTCGATCCCAGACCACCAGCAAAAGTTCCTCGCCAAAGCCTTCATTCGCGACATCCCAAAATGCCCTTCATGTAATTCGCTCAACACTCGATTTCGTAATGTTGCAGGAATGTAAACCCTCATCCCTTTCACCAAACACTCCTGTTGTAGTCCAAATTCAGTTTGATCAATCCCAAATCGCTGTTCTTTTGGAACCACCTTCCCTGTCTTCAATGCCTCAATAAGTCTCGTCACGTCAGTATCGTTCCCCGTCTCAGTCTTTATCTCGGCGAAAGTTACTGGGAATCTCTCCATGAGATGCACTTGGATGGCATCTACCTCATCCATTTCATACCCAGAGGTTTCCTTGAGAGGCAATCGTGAAATGCAATCCACGTTCCCATGTTCCTCCGATTTCCGGAACTCAATATCAAAGTCAAATCCTTGGAGGAATGCACCATAATGTTGCAATCTCATCGCTGTATACTGAGGAATCCCCTTTTTAGGATTGAATATGTGGTATAACGCCTTGTTGTCCGTGATCAGCGTAAATCTCCTGCCAAACAGATACGGATAGAATTTTTTTAGCCCAAACACTATCCCGTAAGCTTCCCGATCCATTTGTGAGTAGTTTCTCTGCGTCTTAGTCAACGATCTCGATGCGTATTGTACTGGCTTCTCTGCCCCATCCGAATGCAGCTGACTTATACAAGCCCCCACCCCCACTGGACTAGCGTCCGTAGCCAATCGTAGCGGCAACTGAGGATTGTAATGATCCAAAAATTTGTCCGACAGCATTTCTCGCTTCACGGTACACCATGCCCTTTCACATTCCTTAGTCCACTTAAAAGGCACCCCAGTCTGTAAGAGCTTGTAAATTGGATCCAACACGGTGCTGAGATGTTCGAAAAACCTCCCGTAGTAGTTCACAAACCCCAGATACGCATGTACTTCGTCTTTGTCTGTCGGTCTAGGCATTTTCTCCAAAGCCTCCACCTTCTCCTTGTGCTTGTGAATCCCGTCTTTATCGATCACATATCCGCAGTAAATAATGTTGTCTTGAAAAAATTCGCATTTATCCAAGTTCACTCGCATGTTACGCTCTTGTAGCCTTTTCAACACTTCCCTCACCCTCTCCCAGTGAGTTTGATCGTCAGGACCTGTGATTTTAATATCATCCACAAACACTTTTACTCCCGGAATGTCCTTCAGTTCATTTTCCATCAACCGCTGCCACACCGCCACTGCCGAAGCCACGCCGTACATCAAACGTGTTGGCTCATACAATCCCAAATGAGTGCTAAGAGTTAGCAACTCCCTATCAGATTCCCTGACCTCTAACTGCAAATAAGCCTGAGAAAGATCCAACTTTGTGAATTTTTCTCCCCCAGCCATGTCAGCGAACAATTCATCAATAGTCGGCAATGGGTGTTGATCTATAACCAACTCAGGGTTTAGAGTCACACTGTAATCCCCACACAATCTTACACCTCCTGATGGTTTGAAAATCGCAACTACAGGAGTAGCCCAGTTACTTTGATTCACTTTCCTCAGAACTCCATCATCCACGAGTTTCTGTATTTCTTTCTCAACAGCCTTCTTCTTACTGAAAGCAACACTTCGCTCCTTAATGAACACTGGCTTGGCATTATCTTTTAATCTTAACTCAGCCTGTATCCCTTCAATTTTGCCTCGAGACTTGTCAAACACTTTAGCATAATACCTCTTCAATTTCTCAGTCATTTCGAAAATTTTACTCCTTGCAACACTTTCTTCAGTCTGATTCAATTCCAAAATGACATTCCAATCAATCCAATCCATCTTTTTAATCCACTCCCGCCCGAGAAGCGGGCGCCTTGAAGATTCTTCAGATAAGTACAAGTTTACATCCTTGAGCACTCTTCCTCCAACTACTGGAGAGATTCGGATGAAACCCAGGACGCCAATGCCCTTTCCACCATAGCCTACAAATTTCCTCTGTGTTTCTGAAATCGGAACATGTGGAAAGTGTTTATCTCTAAACTCGATACCCGCAATAGAGATCGCCGAACCGCTATCCATCTCAAATTGTAACAATTGTTCATTTACTTTAACATCAATAAGTACCTTCTCCACGTGATCTTCCTCCACGGTGAATATTCCCTCGATGCCATGAACCTCCTGCGATCCCTGCGGTGCTTTGTCATCCGTCTTCTTCTTCCCGGCTTGCTTGCAGACTCTCTGCAGATGTCCAGTTTTGCCACACTGCCTACAGACTGTCTTGGCGTGAAAGCAGCTGTTGGCATAGTGAGTGGCCAATCCGCAGCGATAGCAGCATCCCGAACCCGAAGGTTTCTCCTGTCTCTCTTGCGGTCGACGCGCTCCGCCACTGGAGACCTTGCAGACATCATCTTCCGTCTTCTCCAGCTTCTTCACTTCGACTTCAATCTCGGCCGGCTTTGTCACGGCCCCCGCAATGACGTTGCTAGACTTGTCCGATGCTTCCATGGCCGTAGCGACGTCCAGAGCCTTCTCCATGGTGAGATCATGCGTTTCCATGAGTCTATTTCGTATGGCTCGATTCTTCACTCCCACGATGAACTGGTTCATCAGAGTGTTGCTCAAATGTCCGCAAACACTACACCCAAAACCGCAGTATTTCGCTAACTTCTTCAGTTCTCCCATGTATTCCGTGACTGTCTCACACTCGTGCTGCATCCTGGTGTGAAACTTAAAGCATTCTGCCGCCACCACTGGTTTCGGGTCAAAGTATTTCTCCAACTTTGCGACAATTGTATCGTAGGCCAGATCTTCGGGCTCTTGTGGCAACACTTCATCACTCAGTTTGTCATACGCCTCCAATCCCATGTAATGGAGGATGTTATTCTTCTTCTCTTCTTCTTCAGTTATGGCGAAAAGCTTGAACGTCGTCTCGAGTCTTTTCACCCAACGCTTCCATTTCCCCTTCTCTGGGACAAACTTTTCAATCGAAGAATGCAGAGACACTTGCCTGATATTTTTCTCCTCGCTTTTCTCTACAATCTCCATCTCCTTCTTCGCGTCCTTCTTCTTCTTATTGTTCTCGGACATTTTCTTCACCTTTTCCTTCTGTTTTTTCCAGTTCTCCTTCGTCGCCACTGTTGTGTTTTAACTCTTTTATTGTGGAGAAGTATTTACAAGTGTTAGTATCTCCGCCATCTTGTCCCAAAGTGCTAAACCTATCAATTCCCTATTTACATTCTGAACTTATACGCGTACTACAAAGTCGATTAGGAAATTCAATTTCCTGGCATTCACCATCCCTTCGTCACGCAGGAAAAGTGTGATTTTCCCTCAAATTGACCGACATGATCCCAATATCAACAGAGAAAATTCACATCTCATGAATTTATCAACTGAATCCTCAGCCAGAGATTAACCCCACAAGAAATCCTCCACTCTGCATTTAGCGAGAGTCTCATGGATTTTGCCGAGAACGTGGAACGTTCACGTGGCGCTCGTAGAAGAACAAACAAAGTGACGCTTGTCGCAGAGAAATTCCGCACCCCATGAGATGGCATAGTCACTATTTGTGGCTTCTATTTGCACACGAGATCGTGACTGTGGCAAAAGAGAGCCAACAAGAGGGATTGATTTTTATTTTCCACCCCAAAAAGAGACCTTCTCTCCGACGTAATCTCGCCATTATGTTGAAATACAGTTTCCAAGTTAAAATCATACATATAGAGGTCTCTCTTAATTCCTTTTTTTCCCGCGCCATCCCTTCATATTTGGAGTGTTGACAAAAGTTTGTCATGGATTCGTTTGCTGAAATTCATTTCCCAATTTATATTGAATCATGTGCAAGGGATAATTGCACATGTACTGCTTCCATTCATGCCACTCACCCTCGCCTTTGCACATATTTGCCTTTCCCTGGGACATTGTGCAGTTACATATTTCAATTGCACAGCTCACAGGAGGGATTTCATATGTACTCCTATTTGCCATACGCGTCATATACTACATTATTCACTTTCAAAGTCATTTATGCCGAATGACAGTGAAAACTGCATTTCACCGATGCGATTTTCCACACGGATCAAGTAAAATATCAGCACTTTACTGGCGTGAAACTCCATTACATGAAGTAATAATATTGAGTTGTCTTCAGGAAAAGTCGTTTGTTTTCTGTTGAAATTCATCTCAATGTCCACCTGGCGATATTCCCAATAATAATAAACAAATATTTCGTGTTTCAGATGTTCAATTTTAACACCGAAAACGTTACTGTGTAAAATCGTGTTTTCCTATGTAAAACTGCTGCATCAGAGACAGAATGTTTATTGGACATAATTTCATACTTATTAAGACTCTCTCGAAAAGTGGTGGTTTGTGGAGGATATTAGGACGATTGCGTATGGGATATGAAATCAGCTGCAGGTAAAAATCGATTAGACCAGTTGGATCTCTCCATTCCGTTCGAGTTGATTGCCCTCATCAATTCATTGTGATCACTCCCACGAAATACGCACCACAAATTATTATCTAGTAGTTGAATGTGCCCTCATGAATGGGGAGATTTTTACCTGACCAGCTGTTTTCCATTTGCTGCCTTTCCTCATTCAATTTCATGCCACTCTCGCCACTCGTCAATTCCCGCGATCCTTGCTGAGGATGAGTGTACTTTCCGTGAACCCAACTTCTGATGCACTCTTGTGCAAAGGTGGATTCTTGTCGTTGTGTGTGTTCTATGTGTGGTTCTTCGGTGAATCATATTGAGCTCATTTCCTGCGAAACGATTACCGGGGTCTGGGTGTGTGGTTGTCTGTTCCGAGGAGGGTGGAATTGATTGGGTGAAGTGATGAAAAAGCACAGAGGGTGAAACACTTTCGGACTCACAAACCCTTCGCTCACTCTCCACTGCTTCACCGCCTTTTTCCCATTTTGCTCTCACATCGACAAGAGATTGCGTGAGAATGTTTGATTCACTGGAATTCTCGTCTCTCTCTCTTTGGTCATTTCGATGAAATGTCGGGTGGAATCCTCACACCATCCCCCTTTTTTCCCGGACACTTCAGGGGCTGTTTTGACGCTGGCGAGACGAAAGCGATCAACGGAAATTTGAAAATTTCACTCTTTCCTCTCTCGTGATGGTCATTTTTGGAACTCTGTGTCTGTGTTTGTGCTCTATTTCTGAGTGATGTGAATAATGCTATTTTCAGGCAATTCGACAGTCGAAGGGATGTGTGTAATCGGGAAATCCCACGTCCGGGGGATGATTCAGGCCAAGCGAATAGTTTCATTTTACGTCTTCCCGCCGCACAATCATAATTCCATCCCCGGGAAATTTACATATTTGCGCCCAATTACGTCCACGAGACTATTGTACAAGTTAATTAATCGCTGTTGTATGATTTCATTACGACTGGCAGCTGAATCTCTGGTCGCACACAACTCGCTGATTGATGTAATTAACATTTTTAATGCATACATTCTGTGGGGATAGAGAAGGGGTGGAGAAAAAACGTAAATACTTTCACCCTTCTCTCTTCAATACACACATTTTCCTCTCAACGCCACCGTTCACAGTATGGAGAAGTGTAGTTATTGCTTAGTGGAAAACAATGCTAAAATTAGGGGTTGATCCCACGAAAGGGTGATGAGAGAGTGGAGGCGACATGGGTGAAATTACGCAAAAGCAACCTCAAAAAAGGCGATGGCAAATGCTGAGGTGGGTGAATGAATTAAATATAAGGATAAAACGCCAACATTCCCTTAATAATAACACACTCCTGGCACAACACAGAGAATGTCTAGTCCGGTTGTCGCCGTGACCATTTATCAAATGTTTAATATATTACACCTTCGCCCGGTGAGTGAGTGCAAAAGAGGACATCGGCAGAGAGTTGAGTCATATATGCAGAAACAGTGAACTCCGCCCCACAATTCTTGGCGGTAATTGGCTTCTGAGGTGTTCCGCGTGAGAATTGCAGGCGGGTGACTTTGTATTGTGCGTATAATTTCACCTTTGTCCTCCGTGTATTAACAAACATGTCACCAGCCCAGGTAGAATTCCTTGAAAGGGTGGTTTTACAGGACAATTGGCGCCAACTTTTCATCAATTATTTCGCATGGGAAAGTTATTGGGCGACAATCTTCATTCTGACACTGGCCATCAATTATTGATATTTCCAGAGACAGCCAGTTATTATTTGACATGTTACATGTCTTCATAGGCATTTAGCAATGATTCTAATTAGACAAAGAACCTCCCTAAATGTGTGTCAGCAACTATAATTTTAATTACAATCACCCCAAATGTTCAAAACATGGCAGTAAAGTTAGTAAAAAGTGTTTATTGGTGTTCTTAAGTTACATTTCTAGGACTTCCAATTTGGTTTCTTCAAATTTCACAAGAATGAACTCAACCACTTTCATCAAACACACTTTTCTCCAATTGTGTGTGCTCTGTAATTCTATATCATACTGAGCATTAAATAAAAAGTGCCAAATTGTGTTTCTTTCTCATGTGCGTGTGTTAAAAACACCCCTTGTAAATTCAATTCCAATGATAAAAAAAATTAATCAGCCACAATTCAGCTCTCTTTCTCTGATTATATTTCCTCTGTCTTCTCAAGTGCAAAGAAAATTTTAGTAATAACATCTCAAAACAAACTCTGAGCTGGGCACAAAAGACAACAACAGGGAAGAGAAGCCCATCAACTGCCAACGGCCGATTGATCCTCTTCTCACACTCGATATTTGAACAATTCCGTTTGTTTTGTGACACATGAGAGTGGAAAAAAACGCCATGAGCCCTCGCGTCCAGATCTCTCCCTTTTTCGGGGGAATCATCATCTCGAGAGTTGGTGGCGGGAGGTGACGATAAAAAAGCAATGAATATCATCAGGGGTGGTTAGCGGACTGACCCCCTTGTGTGAGATGAAATGCCGTCGTCATGAAATCAGAAAATTTATCCATCTCTCGACGTTGAGAAACATGAGACGAAATTTGACTGTTAAAACTCCGGGATGAACGTCTCTAAATGATCGATTGCCATCATTCAGCGGAGGGAAGTGCCATTTTAAAGGGGTGTCGATGAAAGTGGTGTAATTCAACACCACAAACTTGGCCATATCTCCATCTAATGCAATGCCAACCTCTCTCTTCAGGCATTGTCTGGGGCTCAATTGGTAATTTCAGCCCGCATTCATTTCCCATTTTCGTGACGGTGCGAACACGTGAAAAGTGCCCAGGAGTGCGGCTCTTGAAACTAAATACTCCCGTATCAATCTGCACCACGGAATTCACCTCCGCTGTTGAGTTATTTCCAGTGGACTCTGGTGGCATTGAATATCTTTGCAAAAAACCAGCGCCTGAGCATACACAGAGGAAGTAAGACAAGCGGAAAATATGAAGGTATTTTTTTGATTGTAAGAACAACAGAGAGAAAATATGGTCAAATTCAAGTTGATTTCATTTTAAGATTTCACCCGCATTGCCAGGCATCATAATTTCCTAAAGGCAAGAGACATCAAGTAAAAGGTGTTTCTTCAATTTATTTACACTCACAAATTTTCGCCCCACGATGAGAAATTAAATTAATCTGCTGGAAAGTGAGAAATTCTACACTCTCAATATGTTCACAGTGGAGAGACAACAACCCTCGACAGAGAGCCGCAGTGAATCATATGATCACCATCAATTACAATTTGATGATGAAGATCCGTAAAACAATAAATCAATTTCACAATATGTGGGAGTGGGAATTTTTATGTGTTGAACATTTCACGACGAGGCGTCATTTGTCCGCTAAAGAACTGCTGCACACTCACTGGAATTATGAGGGATGAAAAATCCCTTAACAAGACACACTTCCTTCTCTCTACATCTCAGGGATGACAAATGTTCCACCCTCTGGCTTGTCTTTTCTCTATATTATTCTAAATTTTCAAATTGTTTTGCTACGATAGCGTGTCACTTTTGTTCTTTTGCACCCCTTTTTTCTCGCTTCGCCTTTTCCCTTTTTTTCCCAGCTCCACACAATGCAATATTTTCACACATATGCGTGAGTATTTCCCTCGTGGTGTAATATTCTTGAGGCCCAGTGGAAAATCGAGCATCCACCCTGAGCAGTGTTATAATGAAATTTCTCGTTGAAAACTACCAAACTCACACACACACACGCACGCGCTCGTGATGTGTTCTAGTCTAGCCATTGAGGAGTCCTCGTATCCTGTTGTTGTAATAATCGAGTGTATAATAAGCTCCGACTCGCCCTTCCCCATTTTTTTTGCCACAGACCTCGCATATGTATGCTTTTTCCTGTGAATTTTCCCTCCGTCGCGAACGCCCATCGCACATAGGCTCAAAATAATGGTGCGTGCAAAAAATCATAGCCCTTAGATTCAATCAAATTCAAACGCGTCTGTAGTTTCCGATATTATTAAATCAGGGCTGAACTCTGCAGCTCTCGCTCGTTGGAAATAAAGGCTTCGCCAGAGAGCGGCTAATAGCGCCCATATAGCCCATTGTGCCGTGTGCATGAGGGCGAAATATTTTTGGACAGATGGCCAAAAGCACAGAATGGAAAATGCCAATGAAACCATAGAGACAGAAAATGACACACATGCAGTTGAGAAATTAGAATCTCGGCTTTTGTGCATGACCCGCACTTCTATTCAAAAAGCCATACAGCGAGAGATCAATTAGTGTGAGGGTGAAATCTCGTCACAGCCCAGAAAAGGTACTTAAGAAAACCTGTTACAATTCACATTCATTCCTCAACTTGCCAAGGAATTGCTAGACAATATATTGCATGTCAAAATTTGCCCCATTTTCACCATCATCATCACCATAAAATCTCATTTCCATCTCTGCAAGAAGACTTTGAAACTCTTGCGCAATCAAACTTTTGCACATCAGACACCTCTTTGCCTCTTCTTCTTCGCGTGGACACGAGAGATTGCGGATGAAGATGTGCGAGAAATCCCGGTGATTCACTGTGCATGATGATGCTCAAGAAAGACCCACAAACCCTCTTGTCGCCTGAATAATGCCAAAGAAATGCGTCGCGACGTCTAGAAGAATGCCAAATGAGTCATTCGGCCACCCCTCTTTGTCCAAGTCCATATTTCTGCACAATTATCCGAACTCGTGCTCCCAATTTGAATAATATTCCCGCTTAGGTGTGTGTTTTCGCCTTCCCAAGTGGAAAATGGGGAGAACATGTCATGACATTCTTTCGTCAACAGCCAAATGGAAAATATCTCCTGTTTTTCTCTACCTCATAGACTACAAAATGTGAGTATATAACAAAATAGGGGCCAATTTTGCTTATGGTTTGCGCACGAGAGAGAAAAAAACAACAACAACAACGTATCAAAAGTGAATTTAAAAGGGCAGGTGTTTTCACAAATATCGCGCTTCTCATTCACTCGCCTCGGCCTTTGATGCATGAATTTCCACTTTTCACCATTTCCAGACACACGGGTGCGTTTGATGAAATTGTGCGTGCATTATGGGGCGCCTAAGTCCCTTTTTGCCTTCTTCGCCTTCTCACAAAATGAATGAATATAAACAAATTTGTTGGATCGATTTCCAATTCAATTTGCGCTCCTTCGCCATGTCCACACATTAAAACAATCATTTTCATATAGAGACACTTTCAATTAATTACACCCTCAACACTTGCACAGCTCCGCCGCACGTTCCATAAAATTTATGCCCCGTAAAATTTATGCAAAAACACCACGCTTCAACTATTGCTAAACTCACGCTCGTGTAAATACGCGGACGACAATCAGATATGGGATCCTTATCAGTTGAGTTTATCAGTGCGGAGAGTGAAAAAGGGAAGAAAACATTAACATGGAGTAATATCAATAGGAAGGGTGGGAAATGTGCCTTATGAATCATAATAATCCTCGTCAAATGGACTCTCTAATTAATTTACAGACGGATAATTACAATTTTTAGCCATCAAGAGATCGCATCTCGTCGCCAAACCACCCATTGAGATCAATAAACTCTCTTCAGCTCGCTGCTTCGGAGAGAATCATTCGGGAGGGTGAGGGAATATAATCAATTTTTTCCTGTCACACAATCCCTATGTAAAATATCTAATGTAGGCAGCTGCAATTTGTGACAATGTGCCCTGAAACGCGCGTTCATATCACAATCCGAGTGGCTGGACTGGGTGGAGAAATTGAATGTGTGTAAAAACAGCATAATAGAGAAGCTTATGATGATGTGGAAGCATGTGTAGAGTGGAAATACTGCTTGATAATTCACCCTCTGCAGCCTAAAAACGAACACCGAGCCACTGATTCTCGGGCCAAAACTATATCGGAATATCTTCCATCTGTCCTGCAACAATTTCACACTCCTTGTTTTATGTCACAGACACACATTGGCACGCCAAATCCACTCTGTGACTCCTGCAATTGAGAACACCCACGGAAAAACCCACTCTCTCGCCACCCCCTGTTACTTTCACGGCCACAGATTTCCTCTGAGGATCTGCATGTTGCGCAAACATTGCCAATAAGACGGCTTAGCCTGGGGCGGAAAGCAGAAAAAGTCCACAATTTAAGGTGGATTACTGAGCTCATATTTTTTCCTCAATGAAGCACACTCACGCCCAATGAATAAATCTCTGTTTTGAACCCTTTAGCAAATTGCTCCTAAACCTCTTTTCCCAGGGAGAAAACCTACCCTTTCTGTCTCAAGCACAATTGTGCATTTATTTCTTTCTCTGCAGCTCCTCGAATTTTGTCAAGTCATCTTCTTTAAGACAATAAATTGGTTTCCTCCCAAAGGGAATTGATAAGGAGAGCTACCCTTCTCAATCCTTCTGCTTTCTCAAGATCCACCCTTTAATCCCTACATCTACGCGATATAAATCTCCCGTGATTAATTGCCTCAAAACACAGGTAAACCATCTTACTAAGGGCGAAACACAACCACCACAAGAAGAGTGTGAAGTCGCAGGTCTCTTACAAATCCCGGCTTTATCGCTGTTTTTCTTGCACCATAAATTCATGAATAGACGACACATACACAGAGAGAGAGGAAGAAAGTCACACGGGTGTGAAAGAAGAAGCTGACGAGGAAAAGGGGCGCGCAAGGAGAATGCCGAAGAAAAGCAAATACAACAAAGGAGGGGTTACGCAAGACATCGTGAATGATGTGAATAAGCAACCTTGCGAAAGGAATTCCTGTTAAGGAAGGGTTCAGTTTCAGGGTAAGACAAGTGGAAGTTGTGTGACCTTGGAAGAAGAGGGAATGTCTTGGCAGTTCCTTGACTCAGGGGAAGTGTGCTTCAGCTGTTTTTTCCCGTCTTTTCTACAATTGCAGCTATCGCAGTCCCTTTAAACCACAACAAGAGGCGACAATATAATGATGCCGATATTCTGGAGAATATAATGAATCGCACTTCTAATTATTTCTTCCACAATTTGACCGCGTGCAGTGCTGAAATGTAAGCCACGTGGCTCCATTGAATGGCAAATGGATGTAAAAGTGTGCCAAAAAGCGCCCCTTCGAGCACACATATTTTATGCTAAGCCTTTCCTTCTCTGCATCTGCCGTCGAAAATCACGGAAGGAAAACGCGTTTTGGGAAAATATGCGTAACTTCAAGCAACGAAATTCCCTCTGTGATCGCTGAATTTCTCTCCGTTGTCTAACGAGGGTGAAAAACCTGGAACGCAGAGGAGGAGAGGCAAAATCGATAAATCTAAACAGCATTAAATGTTCCCTGGGGTCACAGGAACAGGGACAGGGAGAGAGAGAGAGGAAAAAACGCGGCTGAGGGTTTCACAATTTCAAATCGAAACCGGTGCGATGCCGAAGGGAGAGATCCCCGGGATTTGAGGCCAGCTGTCACTATTTCTCTGTTCCAGGTGCGATATGCACTTCATCCAGTGCACTTTAATTTATATGTGTGAGAGAGGGGATCGTCCGCAGACATTAGCGTGAACATGCCGAAAAAAAGGGCCACCAGAACCATCGATCGCTTGTCAGAGTTGAGATTCTGCCGATAAACATGAAATGTTTCTATATGCTCAGCAACACACAAGCCAAACCAACTGCTTAGCGGATCGCAATAACTGTGAAGGTGCGAGTGAACAGAATAGAATCATTCTCCGAAGGGATGGCGAGTGAACAAGAAGCGTGCTGGCGCAACCAGAAACACGCATCGTGAACATGAATGAGACACTGAATACCTTCGCGTACGAGAGCGACATTCATCATATGTCCAGACTTTCGTCATCACCGGGGCGGATTCACGGTGAATGCCAAGAGCCCATCTCTGGCGATTTATCCGGATGAGGCAACCCTCTGCCAAGGGTGCGCACAGATGGTGAAGAATTTTGTAATTCGCCGAGGAGAAAATGTATTTTTTTCTGCCTATTATCTGCCTAATTACATTAATTAAACACCCCCTGAGAACGCATCGTGACTAATCATGCCACATGGCTCTGCCGAGACACCAGCGAAAGGAGATAAAAGTGAGATAATTGATTGGAAACTTACCCCATCGGCAATTCAGTTTATTCCTCATCTTCATATATCACAAGGCTCTCTATATTTTTCTCTGTTTCTTCTGAGCTAGAGGAGGAGACCTGTTGCTTTCCCTCTTCTCCAGAATGCCCGGTAAATGCTTCAGCAGATCTTCCGTCGTTGACTTGAATTCCTCATTGGCCCAGATCTCTTTCAGTGCACTCATCACAATGCCCATGGACCTTCCCGACGGACATCCGTGCTCTTTCAGCACACTTCCATTCACAGGAAATCGTGGGATTTCCCACTGGCTAAGCAACTGCTGCAAATCCTTCTTGTTGTGATACATAAGCAATTGCTCAACGAAACTTCTCATCTCACTCAGTTTTCCTATAGTCTGGAAACACATCTTCTGGAAATGCCTGCGAAATAAAGCGCAAAGAGCATGAGAAACTACTTAAGAATATCATCACCGCTAAACTTACACAATCTTCTCAACATCTCTGGTCTGTTCACGATTCTGTATAATGTAGAAGATGAGATCTCTCTCGAAAGCAGAAAATTTCAGCCTTTCATTCAACTTCACTGCATCTTCAGGTGTCCAGAGGAGTGACGAGAGAATTGTGGCAGAATTGAGTGAACTATCAAAGTTCTTCTTTGTCTCACACAACCTTTCGAACTCCGCAATGTTTGGCTCTTCTGGCAAACCAATAAATTTCGCCATCCCACACTCCAGCATCACCTTTATGAGTTCACAGGTGAATCTGCCCTGGAGGATCTTCTTCAGCTCCACCCAAATCCTCTCGCCACTAATTCTCTCAAGACCTGCAACATTCTGTTTTATGGCCTTCAGTGTGTCCTCTTCGTGGTTATTTGCCACCTCCGCGATCCGCCCGTAAAACCGAAAGTACCGCAATATTCTCAAGTAATCCTCTTGTATCCTGGTCTCTGCACTCCCCACAAAAGCCACCCTCCTGTTCTGCAAATCCTCGAAGCCGAAGAAGTAGTCGTAAATTGTGCCATCGTCAAGGCTCATAAACATTGAATTTATCGTCAGGTCGCGACGATTCGCATCCAATTGCCAGTCTGTCGTGAACTCCACTTCTGCATGGCGTCCATCTGTGGTCACGTCAATCCTCAAGGTGGTCACTTCGAAGTTTGAGGAGTCATTGATGCGGGGAGTGATTGTGCCATGCTTCTCCCCATTTGCGTTCACCATTCGCACCTCTTCCTGCGTGAACATCTCCTTCATCTGCGTCGGAGTGGCCGTTGTGGCGAGATCTATGTCCGAGGGTATCTTCTTCATCAGCAGATCCCTAGGAATGGTGAATAACACTCAGTAAACAGACATATAACTCATTTTTCGTAGGCAGAAACTAACCTCACAGGACCGCCAGCTAATCGGATCTCATATTTGTATTTCTTGAAGAGATCCAGCAAATCCACCAAGTCTTCCGTCAGGATGGCAGCATATTCTTCACGCTTGAGTATAGTAACAACGGGATTTTCTCGTACTCTCAGGTTTAAATCCATTTTCCGGGGAACGAATTTGCTGGATTTCTTGCTAAAATACCTTGACTGCAATGTAAACACATTATGTTGAAATTGCAAATCCCGTGAAAAACTCGAAGGCACCTAAAATTTCCTTACTCACCAGATGTATCAGAGGTCCTAGATACCGTCTGGATAGGGAAACAAGCAACACATTAAAGCACATCACGGTAAAATGATGATTTTTTGAGACTTTGCGAAGAAAACATTGGAACACGCAATCTGACAGCTCATGACGATGACACCCTCTTAGCGACTACAGCGCCGAATCTTCCTCCGCGGTGTGCTTTCGAAGTGTTCCTCAATCAACTCATTTGTAATGCAGAAAGTGAAACGATAATTCAATCGAAAAGGGCGGATTAAAAAATGATTTTTTGATAGCGCTGAAAGGGATTTTATTCATTTTTTATTCAAATACTCTTGATAAGGTAGGTATGAGTAATATTGCTTCCACTCATGGTGAATAATTTTTGAAAATGTCTTGTTCAACTTGGTGTATTTTTCTTTCCTTTATTTATCCATTACTTTTATCTTTTAGTATATTATTAATTTACTTGGAAAAGCCATTAATATGTGTATTGAGTAATATTTCAATATTCATTTTCATTTTCAATAATGTCACATACAAGAATCTGATATTACAATACTATCGAAGGTGGAGATGATCTTCATCCGTGGGAGGATGAAAATCGACCTTCATCGAGATTTTAATAGCTATCTTTCCATTTTTTTTCTCTACTTGTTATGCTTAGTAATCAATAATATTAAAGTCATCAATTACCTATTATTATCATTCACGCATTTATGTTGTCTTTCCTTTAATATTTTAGGTAATTTATTGTTTATATTACTTTCATCACATACTTTTTATTTATTCATATTTCAGTTGTACCCTTAATAAATTTCCTCTAACCGCGAAAAAAACGCACTCATTTTCATGTCTAAAAACGCCGCCCTTGTCACCCATTTTATCTAATGCCGTAATTCTAGGTTTAATCTGCAAAATCATCCCCTCAATCACTCTCGAATTAATTAAAGATACAACTTTGCTTTTTTTTCTTCCTCGAATTTTCTACAGTAATTTTTCATGCTTTCATCTTGTTCACTTTTTTTGTGTCACGACTGTGCAAATTGATGGAGAGAGCTTTTTGGGAAACGGAAAAACCACCAAAAGCAATATTTTAATGCATGTTGGTTAATGTAGGTTAAATGACCTTAATAATTAATGGATATTTTAATTCACATGCGTTTTACACGTTTTACATAACTTTTTTCCCATCTCCGTTCTATTGATTTTTATTCCGATCATACATTGTTCATTCCGACATCGGAAAATGTTTTTACAAAAATACTCTCTTCCCAATTCTTTGCATATCTTTTCTGTTTGTACGAATATACCTTTTGTGGTTATCAATAAAATGTTAAAATGGTAATTTTCTTGCTTGTTTCTCTCTGTGGCTTATTTGTTTCAAACTCTTTTTTTTTAAGCATTTTCTGGTGGGTCCATGACTCAATCAACTCAGGCGATAAAATACTGTCGAGGAGCGAAATAAGAGGTGAATGTGTCCAACTGAGTGGCTGCCCAGCTCTGGGTGGAATCAATTTATAATTTTTTATACCAATAGAGGTAATGCTCGCCCTCCTCGACGATTAACTGCAGAGAGATGGCGACATAAAAGAGAAGTGTTATTGAAATGTGACGCTGGAGTGCACACAACTCATGCAATTTATTACCTCGTCGACACCCACTGGCGCGATGAGCTGGTTCCCAGGTGGATTGGCGGGATCAGGAAGTTCAGGAAGACGATAGAGTAGCCAGTAGTTGTATCTGTTGGGGTGGAAAATTAACACGAATTATGAGCTATTGGACTTCTGGACGCCAGCCAAAAAGCACCGAAAGCTTTTAGTCTGCTCTATATTTCGTGAAATGTGTATTCTTGAGGGTGAAACATTTCACAAAATATCTCTTCTAACGTCTATGTGAAATTTAATAAAATAAATTGCGGGGTAATATTTTGAATAAAATCGTTAGTGTACAGAAATTGCTTCTCAGCCATTTCAGGCTGAGAATGTCAGTAAAATTTGCTCCCTTGGAACTATAAATTGTGATATTGGGAGCTAATTTATTTATGGCGAAAGCATATTGCCAGCCTCTAATGGAGCGAAGAGTGTGCATTGCAATATTGTTCGTTCGGCTCTGGCATAATTAAAACATATCAATTTATCGACTCCCAAGAAGCGTTTGCGTTTTGCTCTTGGTTTTTGCCCGAGAAGAAGGAGTGGAAAATCGAATTTTCAGCTAGAAAAATTATGTCTTTAAGAAAAAAAATACAAATTGAACGACTAAATTTCGTTCTGCGAAAAAAGTCTATTTCAAAATCGTTTTTAAATGGTAAAAGAGCAAGAGAAAAAATAGTGATTATTTCACTGATGATAATTGACTTCTTGCACGAAATTAGATTTTTCTTCAGATTTTCCTTCAAGGCGAAACTATGCTTAAACTCTCATTCTTTTTTTATTCTCAATTTCTTTGCCCGCTTTTGCCAGAGAGAAACGAAATATTGCTTGATCAGCTCCGGGTTGAAAACTCAGCTTCATTCTTCACCAGAAGTCGCTTATGCGGATGTATAATTTTCACAATCTCCGTCACTCACCCTCTCGGTTCCTCCTTTAGGCCAGCCAGGGTGTGCACATAGTGTCCGTTTGGCCACTCACGGGCCTCGAAGGCGAATCGTGAGTCCAACTCGGCCGCCTGGGTCATGGCCCGGAAGAAGCTGGTGTTCTTGGACGAGACGAGGGACAGGGAGAACGTATCCGTCACATTCGATCCCACCCACAGCGTGTACGTGTAAGACACATTCTTCACTGTTGGGGCAAAATCAATACAGATAGGGGGTGAGAAAAGGGGTGCAAGTGAGAGATTGATGGTGCAGTGCTCACCCTCAGACTCCTCCACTGATGTTCCGGGAACGCCCAGCAGAGTAGCAATCTTGCTCTCTCCGTTCTCGCCATTCTCTCCGTTGCCGTTCATCTCCCTGATCACGTGATCGCACTGCAGTATCCTCACGGCGCCTAGTCCCTTCCAGCCCAGCGCCAGGATAATGTCCGCCGTGAGTCCCACGCCCACATTGGGATCCTGGCCATCCTGCAGCGGCTCCTCCGTCCAGCCGCCGTCGGACCTCTGGCGCTCGAGGATCCACTTGGAGGCGGCGGAGCGACTCCACTTGCCGGCCGGGTCGGGCTCCAAGTCCTGGAGAGCCTGCATGGCGAGAGCTGTGCTCCGCAGCGAGCCGAAACTGCCGCGCGGACCTTGAAGGCTCGCCAAACCTCGAGCTGGTCGTCGTACAAAGTGCTGCAAGTGCCGATGGCGATGGTCTGTGACGATGCAGCGCAGAGCCAAAAGTACCATGGCCACAGTGTCTGAAATATCAAGGATGAGCACTCAACCTCCGAGCGAAATTAGCGTGCCTATTTCCGACAAGGACTCACCAACACTCTGGTCGGTTCCGCCACTGGCAATGTCCAACAGTCGCCGGATTTGCCTCTTCCGCACGTGAGCGGCTGAGCTACACGCCGCCAGTGTCACCAGAGCGAATTCCTGATCCTGGGCCGGTTCGTGGCGCAGCAGATTCGCCACGAGATCGTGAGTGTGGAACCTCTTGGGGTCCTTGCACAGTGATCCCAGAGCAAGCACGTAACGCGCCAGCTTGTCGGCATTCACGGGCATCGGAAGGGAGTTGTGGTGGTTCAGCATGGTGAGGATTTCGATCTCCATCTGCTTCACGGACAGAAGCTCCTCCAGATCGGCTATCATCTGCACGTGGTTGTCGGAGTCCGTGGGATCTCGGCCGCCGGAGAGCTCCTTCGCCAGGATGACCATGTGGGTGTCGTTTCCCCAGCCGAAGTCGTGCTCTCGCTTCTCCTTCAGCCAATCCAGAGCCTTGGCGATGCCGGCCGATTCCTGCTGATTGGGCCCACTTGAGCCCATTATCTGGTGATCGTCGGTGAGCGCGGGTTGCTCGGGAAGCTGGGCATCGCCGAAGTCCTGATTGGTGGTGGCTGAGGACGCTGTAGAAGGCGTGCCGGCGGAAGCCATGGAGTAGCCCTGGCCGTCCGCCGTCGTGGCCGGCGACACGCTCGTGAGGCCGGACACCGGTATTCCCCCGACGCCTATCACTGCCGGCTGGTGGGTGTCGTAGTGGGACGTTGTGTGATGCTGCTGAACAGTTGTCGACACGGATTCCGTTGATGTTTGTGCTGGGGAAGAGCGCATAAATTATCTTCCTCTCGCCCAGACAACACTCTCAACAATTAATTCCACACAATACTCGTAATTAACTCACATATAAGTGGTGCTGTACTGTTCCCACCCCCGTAGCTCGACGCCACAACGCACACGGTGGAGAGCAGAAAGTGCAGGAGGAACATAAATGAAAAAGTGCTGTCCAATTTTCCCTCCATTAGTGCTGTTCGATTGGAAATGGAGTTGAAATTAATATCTGAAACGATAGACAAGATAATTGGAAATTTATTTTCATCTGATAAAAGCTACACCAAATACATGGACGGGATTTTAATTTTCCCGATATCGCCCAGCGCTATTCCATTTACATACATATGTCCCTTTTTCCACTTCGACACAGCCAGACAAAAGAGCCGTCATTTCTAACCCCGCATTGGGAAGGACAAAAGCCAGGGAATGGAGAGATTTTATCTGGTAGCGATTCCTAAAAGTGCCTTCAAAAGCATTTCCTTCCACGATCGAAAGGTCATGGATTGGAAATAAATTTTCCCACTCATCAAACTGGTGAAAATAGAATGACAATCTGACCTTTCAGGTGAAATCTCATTATGAAAGCTTTATGCGAAAAGCCTATTTGCAAAGCAAACTCTCAACAACCCCAATAAATGTGTAATGTGAAGTGTTATTTTAATGCATCTGATTAATTAATAAATCAACTAATCACGAGCTTTCAATTGTGGTCTATTAATTAAATTAGTTTAGTGGTTTCGATGTAATCAATTGCATATTGTGTCGAGAACCATTGATTTAAGCTCTTAACCTTAGACTTGATATTTACATATAGTGGAACGTCTTGAATCCGAGTGAAATCTTTCCGGACGCTCACAGTGACACGCCAGCTCGGCCATGGATTGGCATTTAAGAAATTTTCAATCCAAATGCCACCGAAACTGTGTGCTCTCAGGAATAAATACAATTCACGTGCCATTGGCGGTAAATCATCTCTGGCAATTCAGTGAAATATTTCGCAGTGCACGGTCACATTGTTTGAGATATCGGGCGCCATAAATTCAGTAATTTCACTAGCTGCAGATTGGACTTTGGAGATGGAGTGTTTGCAGAGTGGTCGTGCAACCCTTTGGCATGGAGTTAATATTTCGCACAAACAACTACCCTTTTTGAAGTTAATGGAGCTTTAAAGCTTTTCCGCTTCGACGGCTAAGCGTTTTAGCGCAAATAAATTTAAATGTCAACCCCTCTCTTGCCCTTTCGGGGGGGGAGGGTGAATATTTGCCATGTGGTATTTGAATGTTATGTGTGCATGGCGCGGAGAGAAAAGGTGATGATTTGGTGTGAAGCTATCCGTAACCCATACCAAATTATACTATTATCCATCTAACACTTCTGCCACCCTGACAATTTATCACTGCGGAGCACTCTGAGGGTGAGATTGAGCCCCAGTGAATCGTATATTGTTTTGATATTATAATTGGATAATTTATACAATTTAATCCCTCGCCCCGCCTGTCACGGCCCCAGAATTGTGCGTGCGTCCTCCCAGTGGCACGACTGTGCGGCGAAGGGATCGTGGGTGGATGTTTGAGCGGTAAATTAACGCTCACTTTATGGCTTCAGAGATAGAGAGTGTATTCAAGTGTAAACGAACTCATAAGTTATTCATTTTAATTCGCACAGCATTTCTTCGGGCTCCTCATACTTATATGTGCGTAATATCATTTTGCAAATATAATTTCTAAATTAGCATCAAAGACGAGGTGAAAGAGCTTAAGGATGAAATATTAATTTTTAATTATCCACTCTTCTGCGCATCTAAGCATCCTTCCTCTTCTCTCGCCCTCAATCATCTCAAAGCAAAAGGGGTGCAATTTATCAAGCTGCGAAGCAGATATATTTAAAAGAATAGCACATATAGCTCTACTCTCCAACACATCTAATAGACATTTAGAGACCCGAGATTAATTATAGTTTGCAGAAGCATTTGCTTTTTTCCCTTTAAATTAGCTTTCTCTCTCTCACACGCTTTGATGTCATTAGCAATTTTCCCTAATTTATACACACAGTTTGCACACATACACATCGCGTCATGTTTATATTTTCCGTACTTTCCACATTTCACGCATCCCAAAAAGCGCCCATAAAAACCCATGAATTTTGCATTAAAGTGTCTTATTATAAAATGTGTGTGTGTGGATAAAATTAAAGCCAGTAATGCTGCCACTCTCAATATTTTATGCTCCTGCATAAAATGATCCTAATGGCATCATACTTAATGCAGAAGCATTGCAATGCTCAAGTATGAATTCCTCATACCGCTCTTCATATAATATTTCATCATTTCAAGACACTTTCCTGTTGATTTTCTAATTACATTATGAATAGACACAAAGTTCGACATGTATTTTGTTGGAAGTTAGGAAAATATGGCTTCTTACATAAATAATAACCCTCATATGAATATATGTGATATCTTAGCGGTGCCTTTTAAAGTAAATTAATGAATGAGCTTTCAAAATAGTTACTGTTATGAAACCCTTCACAGTCCTCTCACCATGGCAAATTCGTCAGGCAGTCTTCTCCGCAATTGGATTCTTCCGAACGAGTCACACATTCACATATCGCGAGGGAAATTTATGTAAATAACAGCACTTACTTGGGGTAATGCGGAGAAATTCTTGGTTATGCAGTAATTGTGGTTTATGAAGTTGTAAATATTTAACCGCACAAAAAATATTGTATTTGCATTTGACATTTTTAATTCAGCGAAGACGGTCGATGTGAACAAGAGCAAAATCCCCCAAAACAAAGCGGTGCGTTTGGTGGGATTTATCCCAGCAAAAGTGATTTATAAAATTTTCATATGCACTGTCAAATCCATAACGGCATTTGTGAATGTTTTATGTGAATTTAGCTGAATGTCCAGCGATTTCTGACCAAAATATGCTATGATATTTTAATGCTCAGCTACAATTGTGATGATTTGTGTGTTTTTACCGCTTCTCTCCCGCAGAGTTCAATACCCGGAAATTGATTTTTTGTCCAATAGGGATTTATATTAGCTGTCTTGATGGCTGTTTTGCCGTGCTCAGCTTCTCACCGGTGTGAAGGGCATTCTTGGCACATCTAATTGTCCCCAGCATCCGAACAGGATCGTTCGTTTTAATTAACGTCAGCGAAATGCGCGCGTAATCTTATCGTTAACTGGGAGAAAATTAACATTGTCTCTGCTTGAAATTGCTAATTGCCTCCCACTTTAGACTTGTTCTATAATTCTTAATTAAAATTCCCTACGTGCATGTGGAGATTGTCAGCTTTTCATTACAATAAAGTATTCACGCGGGGGGTGAAAATAAAAAGGCTCCCCTTTTTCCTGTGCGAAAAAAATAAAGAGAGCCAAAAGATACACACCGCAAAATAGTACATGTAAAAGCAATATTATGGGATTTTCTCCCTCAGCCACTGTTTCGTGGTGTGGGGAAGCAAAATTTTATCCTCTCTTCCACTCACCCAGAGATATATTCTATCTATTTTATCGGGTAGGAAGCGGAAAGGCATCGCCGGGGAAAGAGTTGGGTGGGCGGAATAGAAGCAGCCGTGAACTATGTCTAGACTGTGGTAATGTCTGCCAGGATACAAATCCCAAAGCGTTGTTATAAAAACTTATTCTTTATGCTTAAGCTCTAACACTGATTTTCTCATCATGCCTCCACTCGAAATCTCTCTTTTCCATGGGAAATTCCACTCACACTCATGCGCTTGCCTAACAATTCGCATTAGCGATGTGATGCGAAAATGGAGCAACAACTCTAAATATTAAAGTGAACTTATTGGATTCGGATGCTGTTTGGGGATTTCTAAGCACCTCTTGCCAGTCATCAAAACTTTCCCGATGTGAGCTTTCATTGCATTTCCCCGAGTATGAAACAGGGAAATCTATAGTCCGTGTGATCGCATGTGGAAAGTGTGGAAATTTCACAAACTAAAGTGCTGGGAAAACAGGAATACATATTAATTAGTGAGAATGACTCATGCACAAAAAATGAGAAACACTTTGCACGAATATCTCTCATTTTCTAAAAATGCCCCAGAGAGCGAGAGAGAAAGCGGAAAGTTGTGGAGTGAAAATTTCCCACCAGAGTTGACGATGTACGTGTTTTTATTTCTCTGCAGCAATAAAAACAATTAAAAATGCATTTTCCACTCTTGTACCTCTCAATAATAAACTTTCCCGCCATTCCGTGCACACCAGCAATACACATTTGGTCTTTTCCCAAAGACGAGGACACTTTCATTCATCTCTCTCGCCCACCTCTTGGGAGGAATGAAAAGGCGTGTGTGGCATCGCATGAAAAGATAAATTGAACAACACTTTCTCGTGAGCTCGTGATTTTTCCCAAGCGAATGACATGGAAAACTGCCTCTCTCAGCGGCCTCGTGACTTTCGAGAGTGGTGAGTGTCAATGGGGGTGAATTGTGTACTTTGTGTGCCCAGAAAAAAGGTATACCTTTGGCAAAATGGAATAATGCAATCCTCTTTGTCTAGCCCAAACAAAAGGGGGTGGCGGAGAGCCACACACGAAACCAAACCCCTTCCAGTCAATGTGACGCCAGAAGTGGATTCAATTTTTCCAGCCATTCAATTTTCATTCATCAAGAAAACTCCACGCACCTGCTATATAGGCACTTTGCTTTCGGAAAAAAAACACACTTTTCGGGATGACTTCCACTGTGGGGAAAGAAAGGGAATGGTGTGAGTCAGCAATGAGATACGCAATGGGGAATCAAATTGAATTTATTACCGGGACGACGCCACTCGATCCCAAGGCGCCGTTCCCCTTTTGGCAATCATTATTTGGGATTTCATTCCTTGAAATGTGTGCAACAGACTGAAGATATGACTAGAATATTCAAATTCTCGCAATTCATCTCAATTTCCCTCCACCTGTACACGCACATTATTGGAATGCCTCCTTAAAACTCCTTCCGCCACACGAATTGTGTGGCAGACACAAAAGGGAGAAAATATCACAAATGATAGCACATCGCATCTCAAGAAACTCAGTTAAGAAATCACAACATTATCAATAATAAAGTCTTATCAAACTGGGGAACTTCACAAAACCCCCAATGTATTAATATGTAAATACCTCTCTTGGCAACCCCTCAAAATTCACATGAATATTTTCCTATTAAAATGTCGTGGGCGGGAGGGAATTTAATATTAAGACGACATTCTCG